GCCTAAAACTCACTTTGTTTCCTGAAGATCAAATTTCATCTGCTATATGAGGGCTCTCTGTTGGTGACGCAGGCAGTTAGGTGGAAATGGAGCTTCAGAGTCAATGAGAGTTTTAAGATAAGCAGAGATCCAGCTCAATGCCCACAAAATACGGCATTTTAGAACTAGAGCTGGATTTTACCTGTTTTCAGGTAAGAATGATTGCTACGTCTTCAGTCTATAGACGAGAGGTGAACTTTGATCAGCTCCTTAAGGGAGTAACTTCGAAGAATTAAAATGAAATGAAGACTTAAACAAAACATCGGGGATTAACTTGGGGTGTGACTCTGTTTGAAGAGCCAGGATCATTCTTCTGTAAGACTGATGTTTTTGTTGACAGGTTACCTAGGGAATGAAGGTGAGGTTTTCCTGGGACTTCACAGTCACACTTCAGAGAAATTCACTTGAAATGGGAGCAATTCTGTTTTTCTAGAGGATGGCATCTGAAGTACTCTTGGATTCCCACTCAACTTGCCCCTTAGCGTCACTTCTCACAGCTGTTCTTGTTTTAAAGTCTGTGCCAGAAGTATTTCTCATTGCCCTAGAAATTTTTTGATATTGGGAAAATTCTCTCTAACTAATTTGATATTCTACTATGAGCCACCTGCCTCATGACAGAAAGATGTTGTATGAAGGTTTCCTGGGTTATAGTGAGGCTTTTGATAATGACCAAAACTACAGCCAAAAAATATGCATGCTCTAAAAAGGCGGACCCGAGGAGGAGCTATGCTAAACAGTTCTTGGAACATGTAAACTAGTTTGGGGAAAAGTTTAAATATACATAGTTGTTTATGACTATGCAATAAGCTGATGCAATAGGAAAGGTATGTAAGGGGCATCTGTACATAAACACAGAAATAGCAGGTGTGTTCTTGGCAGAATGCCAAGCACCCAGCTGTAAATCTTGCTTTATTGTCTTTGTCTCCTATAATCCTTTATTTAACTTTTAAATTTTTACAGGAGAGTGAACCTCCTTTTTCACACCTTCTCCTTAGGTGGCCTTTGCCAAGAATCCACAGAGCATCTGGGACTGTAACAGTGGGGTGCTTTGAGCCACTCATTCCCACTCAGGCTGATTCCAGCCTCCAATACAGTCAGTTGCTGGGATCCCACATCACTCCAGAAATACAGACAGGTTTTGTCCCTCTGTAGCCTGATGGCATTGGGATACCCTGAGCCCCAGTGTCTGCTGGAGCTTTGTACTCTGGTGGGGCTGCTGTGCTGAGCCCTCCAATGCACACACTCCAGTTAACCCATATGTCCCTCTCCTCCTCCTGGCTGCATGCAGGGTCTGATCATGGGATTCTCTGCTTACTTCATGAAAAAACAGATAAGAATGCCTTTCCGTAGGATTGGGAGTAAGATCAGCGTTGTCATTCTGTCTGGGAAATAGACAGCTGGAGATTGGAGAAGCTGAGGGAGGAAATGAGAGCAAGCATCTCTCGCGCTGTCTCACAGCAGCTCGTGGGCTAAATGGCATCTGCCTTTTGTTTAATGTGATACTTTATTTCCAAGTAGCTGAGAGATCTGTAAGGAGCCAAGAAAATTCAATGCGTGTGCTGCATTCCCCAAGAGGGAATCCGAGAACTGGTGATCCCACCAGCCCCAGGATGGTCATGACAGCCCTCATAGTTTTAGGCAAGGAAGCCTAAAATTTTCAAGCTTGGGCAACTTTTCAAGTTTAGTCAATCCCTAAACCTGAATGTTCCAGGAGACCCAGAGCCTGAACTGCACATTCAAAGTCAGTTGCATTGTGTGGTGAAATGGAGCAGGTAGGAACAGGTTGGCAAAGCTACAAAGAGCCAGGAGGTAGTGCCAAGAGATGTTCTGCAAGCTCAATACCCAGCCCGAACCCAGTTCTGACAAATGTGGGGCCAGCAAGATGCAATAATCCCTGCAGTGTCATCGGGGCGGGGGAAATTTGGGATCATTCCCAGCCTTGCTCCTCAGCCTGGCTGGGCATGCAGCTGCTGAGACACGGGTGTGTCCTGGTGCCCCCACTCACCCCCCACCCACGGGCAAGACTTGGGACACTTTGGAGGCATTTTAGGAGTAAATTAGGCTGGTTCAGGGAGGGCAAAGAGACAATTTGGGGGGCTTTTTGGTGTGTCTCTGTGTGCCCTCCTACCCGAAATCTCCCCAAATATTAAAATGGATTTTATATATGTGATGTTAAAGTAACTTTGTTATAAAGATATAGTTTGTATTTATGCTGTTAATTAAGCTTAGGCATAGTAGGGAAATAGCTACGCTTGTGTTGAAATGCCTGCTTGAATGGGATAAGATTCAGTGAACACAGGATGAGGAAATCTGCTGCAGATATGCCAACTCTCAGCACACACCCTCTGAAAACAGTGAGGGCCAAGGCCCAGACTGGAAGTGAAAAAGAGAAGGAGCCAAAACCACAGCCAAAAAACACACATGCTCTAAAAAGACAGACACGAGGAAGGGCAGTGTAAAATACCTCCTGGAAAATGTAAACTAGTTTATGGATATGCATAAGAGTCTATGAATATGCAACAGGTTGATGTAATGGAAAAAGAATTAAGGGGTATCCCCAAAGATAACTGTGTGGTCTTTGCTAAGTGCCAAGATGCACCTGGCCCTTTGCTCTGTGGTCCATTTTCTCCTATTATCCTTTATAAACTTCTAAAATTTTCATAGGAGAGTGAACATGTTTTTCACACAGGGAATACCAATAGATTGGGGAGGTGCCCTTCAGGGAAACTGAGTGCAGTTTTTCCTGTGCTTTTCTGGAATGCTTATTAATACTAACTTATGGCAATGCATTAAAGTGGCATTACAAAGCCCAGAGCCCATTTCAGATGCTCATGCTGCCAAGTTCAATCCATGTGTAAGATATAAACATGATAGTTCATTAACAGAAGTGAAATATTTGATGTAAGAAATTGTTTTGCTGGGTCTAATTTAGTCTTGAATGTGAACAGCAGTGTTTGTATTATTCTGAAGTTCTGTTGGAGCTGTCCCAGTGGTGTGTAATTCTAGTCTGGGATTTGCTATTCCCCCTCAAGGAGCAGCATAAATAGCATGGAAGAGTGGCCTTTTGCTACCAAGCTACCCTTTGAGGGTTTTCTAGTCTCAGTCCTTCATTTACAGTAGTGTTTGGTAGGTTTCAAAAGGTCTTCTCTAATTTCTCTCTTTCTTCTCTTCTTGCTTTTTCTTTCCTTGTCTTTTATCATTTCCTGAGTCCATTCTACCATACAATATTGTATCATTTTCTCTTTACTTTTTCCTCTCCTAGTTTCACATTTATTCCACAATTTTAACATTACCCCAAGGGGGCTGTCCTGGGATATCTGGCAAAATGCTCCCTCTTTTTCCAGTACCTTCAGTACCTCTGTTTTCCTGCTGGTTTATACCAGCTCCTGGGTTTTTGCTTTGGCATTTACCCATTTAATCCTAGCAGGTGTTCCCTCACTCGCCTCGACCACACTTGTTCAGACCTTGGTCCCTTCTTGTCAAGGATTCCTCTAATAAAAAGTCCCTTCTACCAGTACCACCTCCCACCTATGATTTACTAAAAAAATCCCCCCTAAGTATTATTGCATCCTGCCCCTGACCTTTTATATACAGAAAATCCTCCTTCACTGGCTTCATTCCTTCAGTGCCGCTCCCCTCGCGGGAAGACGGAACCGAGGTTAGAAGAACTCCACAATCGCCTCGTGACCAGGGCACGTGTCACACACACACCACTCACACCCTTACACATCTACACCCGTTCTTACCCCACCTAACCAAGCGGTACTTACAGCCTCCTTTTCTCACCCGGGTCTTCGTGCACGAGTTGTTACAGGTGAACTTTCTGCAGTCTACTCCGAGAGCTCAAAATTCTTTGCTCATAATTTACCTTAAAGATTTCCTCCTCCCTGAAAGATTCCCCAGTCACTCAGGGCCACCTGAGCCAAAAGCCTCCAAGGTGGGGCGTCTCCCTGAGATCAGGAGTCTCCCTCAGTGGATTTGGAAATTTCCTGGCCAATGCACCAAATCTTTTATAAATGAGACGCTTGACTAGGCTAATATTCAAGCAGCAATCAATTTATTAATTAATATGGTAAAGTATGAGCAATACAGTGCTGGGTACAGTGAGGGAAGTTTTCCCTCCAACTGCACACTGACAGTTGGGGTTTACAGATATTTATAGGAGTACTCATAAGCTTTCTCAGCAGTTTCTGTTCCCAATTTTTATGTCACAATTCTGTACACTATTGTGATTCATACACTTTTTCTCAGGATGTATGCCAGAAAGGAGTATCCCCAGATGGTGGGGTCCAGCTTCCGAAAGAAGAAAGATGTCTCCCAGCTGGTGAGGTCCAGATTCCAGATGCGGGTCCACCTTTTAATTGCAAGGACTATAAATTTCTTAAGAGTGATGTCCAGCTTCCCTTGGTCAAAACTATCAATCCTTGAGTTGATGTTCATCTTCCTTTCTCAAGCTGCTTTTCACTGTTTTGTTAAGGTGTCAAGATAAGCATGTTTCCTTTTTATATATCCTAAAGCTATAGTTTCAAAGATCCTTACTACAAGCAATATTCTAAAATCATAATTCAAAAGGTTATTATTGCAAAACTCTTTAAGGCTTAGCTACAAGCAGAAGTTCCTGTCAAACAGCAACATCCTTAAAGCTTTAATTGAAATGCTCCTAAATCAACTTAAGACTTATAAAGGTTAATTGCAAACAAAGGATACGTTCAAAGGCCTTCTTCCATGCTTTACTTCCTCAGTTATTTATTAGATTTTGTCTTGATAACTGTCCCGTGGTCAGTTTCCACACATATCACAATCAGAGATACATACGTTGCGTGTATGTACCTGACACAAAACACAGCTTGGTATTCCACACGGCTCCTGCCAGGAGAGGGATGTGTGCCACTGCTGCCAGTGCCACAAGGCCACTGCTGTGGGGAGAGAGATTGCTGTGGTGGGAGAGACAGAGACAGAGACAGAGACAGAGACAGAGACAGGGACAGTCACATCATCTGCCTCGTGCTGGCGCTGCTGCCACCACGGGAAAGCCACGCTGCCAACCCCAAGCGGTGCCACCCCGGCAGCACCATCCTCGCGCAGGAGAGAGATAAAAGCAGCTCAGAGAAGCAAGCACAGGGTCCTTCCTTATTTCCTTTGCCATGAATCCTTAGGTGTTGAACCCACGCCCCGAGCCAGCCGAACCGTGACCCTGCCCGCCGGCGGCAGAGACAGGGCACGGCCCCTCCTGACGCGTGCCCCGATCGCCTCCCGCGACCTGCCCAATGCCAATTATATTATGATATTATATTACATTAAAGAATGCTACACTAAAGCTATACTAAAAAGAATAGAGAAAAGATACAGACAGAAGGCTAGGAAAGGCATGAATAATAAAAACCCGTGACAGACCAGAGAGTCTGGCAAAGTTAGACTGGGATTGGTCATTAAGTAAAAACAATTCACACGGAACCAATCAAAGATGCACCTGTTGGTAAACGATCTCCAGACCACATTGGAAAGCAATCAGATAATTATTGTTTACATTTCTTTTCTGAGGCTTCTCAGCTTCTCAGAAGAAATCCTGGTGAAGGGATTTTTCGTAAAATATCAGTGACAGAAAAGCAGAGAAATAATTCATTAAAAGAACTGGAGCTTAGCAGTGCTGAGGAACAAAAAGCCATGCTGGAAGAAAAAAGCCATGCTAGGAACAAAAAGAAATAAACACAGAAATTTTAAATAGGTCAGAAGCTTAAGCACTTTTAACACTTTGCAAACTGATAAAGAGCTGACGTTTTCAGAACAAGAGTACTGCAAAGTGTGTACTTTACAGTAATTCACCTTTCCAAATAAATATCTCCAGACACTAGTTTCAGCTTCTTGCCTATCATCCAACCTTTACGACCTTCTAAGTACAGGAAAGTGTCATTGCTCAAAACCCACTACAGAATTCAACTGGTACCTTGCGGTTTCCTTTATTTCTCAGAGCAAGTCTTCCCTATTTTATATTTGATGGGGTAATAAGCTGTGTCTTCCAGAAGATAAATATGCAGCAGCAAGAATTAAGTTATTTAGTACAAAGCTTAAACTTTTCTGCAGTGCAGTTACTCAGCAAAGCTTAAAATTTGCAACTTGCATCACACATTTTGCAAGAAATAAATGTTTAACTGTTGTATTGCGCTGTTTATTAGTAGGTTAATAGTTTGATTTGTAATGTGGGCGTTTTCATTATGTTGTTTCCTTTTTGTTCCCGCCTTTTCCTAGAACTTTCGTCACTTTCTTGTTGTTAGTTTCTAGTTTCTATTTCCCCAAACTTTGTCAGTTTACTGAAACTGTTCTCCTCCCTTGGAATTTCTATTGGTTGATACATTGTGGCTCCTGCCTGGTTTTTTGCTCCCAATTCTCCTGATTTGTTAAAGATTGTACCCTCCCCTGAGACCTGCCCCCAGATATAAACTTCTGTCTGCCCCCCTGTTCCTGTTCCTCCCAGGATGAAGAGGGGAACTTTTACCATCAAATAAAGTTACCCTGGGACCCGTGTGCTGCTCTGTGTTTTATGATGTGCCAATGGCACCTGGGACTCAACGCAGCTCAAGGGGGAATCTGCTGCCCCTCCTCCACGTCTGTCATCAGCTGGCCGGGAGGGCAGCATTTAAACTTTTCTTTCTTTCTTTCTTTCTATTTCTCTGGAAGTGGCCACTATTTGAAGCCATTTCCAGTGATACAAGAGCAAACAAAACCTTGGTTTTATGACACTTTTTCCATTTACTCCCCTGCTTCATCCAATTTTGACCTCTTACAACCAAAGGTCAGCAAGATGAGCTGGAAAAAACAGCAGGTATTCCTTGTGTTCAGCTAAGATAAACAAGTCCAGGACCCAGTAATTCCCAAATTCTAACCCCAGACCTGCCAATGACTTGCTGTATGGCTTTGAATTACTGGATTTGGGCATTTTGCTTTCAAATGGGTACACTGGAGAAGCGCATACTGTGCAAAAAGTGGAACAGCCTCAGGAGCATTAAAATCCTTCACAGCCCCTTCAGTGAGATTCGGTAACAGTTTTTTAATTTACCTTTTCAGAAATCTTTAATTTGAAATTATTTACTAATTTTATGGATGAAGTCACACCACTTAAACTTTACTTAATTATAACATACAGAGATGATGAGAAAAGAGAATTACTTGCTAACCACAACCAAACCCTCTCCCATCAGCAGAGCTGTCTCAGGACAAACTGGTCAGTACCATTCAACACCCGAGTGTGTTCCATAAGTGATGCTGTGCTGCCCTCTAGTGAAGTCAGAAACCACTTCCAGCACCTGGATTTCTGAAATTCAGGTCTCAGTCCTGAAAGGGTTAAAAGGATTGTATCTAGGCATACTTGGGCAAGAGTAAAATACATTTTAACCAATATAGAAGCTAGCAAAAATTAGTGACAAGAGATACAGGATGAAACTTGGCAAGAAGCAGGGAACGGAACTTGCAAAAATAAAGGACAGTTTGCTAGAACCAGCGAGAAAACCCCTGAAACAGCTAATGAGAGATTGCTCATGGCTAGGGGAGAAAGGTGAAAAGGGCATGGGGATGAAGACATCCAGCCTGCACCAGGGGAAGACGTGGAGCCTTCCTGGCAACCAGCGGGGTGCACTGCGCCCGTGCTTCACGCGTGCTAACGATGAGTTCTAAGAGTTTGCATTACCACACCTTTTCTAAGGAAAACTATGAATATGCATAAAGACCCGCGCTTCACGCGTGCTAACGATGAGTCCTAAGAAAGAGTTTGCATTACCACACCTTTTCTAAGGAAAACTATGAATATGCATAAAGTATGACCATACATTGAAATCTGCTGTGCACCTGTGTGCGTGGTTATACACACAGGAGGAGATCTCCCCGTGCACCCAGCACACCGAATAAAGAAAATACTCGCTTCTCAACTTTGTACCCCAGACATGTCTCTTGGCCCTGGTTTGAGGCCATTCAGTCCCAGAGAGAGTTCTGTTTATAACAGAAGAATCCTACAGCAGCATCTTAATCAGTGCATCTTATGTTTTAATTTTACTCTTCCATCCTAGGGTCTTCAGTTTAGGTTGAGATTAAACACTGTACTCAATTTAACACCTCCAGAGCACACTCTGCTTTTTCCAAGACTTGTGAATTCAAGTTCTCATCTTACAAAGAATCACTGGCAAAAACACTTCAAAGACCTAATATATCTGAACATAGGCTATTTTATTTTTTAAAATAGCATGACAAGAATAGGCTCCTGTAGTCAAAATCTTTAACGTGGTTACACAATTAATTTTTCTCATGCTCAGAGTACATCTTCTGGGATGCCACTTTCACTGAAGTGCTAATGACTTCAGTGCTGGTTACTGGAGCACCTTGACTGGTGCTGTCTCTTCCCAAAAAATTCCATTGTGGGAAGAGGTCAGACATGAGTCACAATTTATTCTCAAATCAGGGTTTTACTGTAGCAGGTCCCTAATCAACCTTTTTTTCTCAAAAATTTAAGCAGAACAAGGTAGCCACTTCAGGAAGAGAGGAGAAGGATTTGGCAGTCCCAGCTTGGGGACCCTAATAGTATTACAATTTCACCACTGATTTAAAAATCATGTGATACTCAGGATTCTTCACTTTCACATAAAGGTAAGACTGGGGTTTTCCTTAAGAATTAAACCCATGTTAGGTGCAGTTGTCTCTGTGACACAGGAGGCAGGAAAGCATAATCAGGGTGGGTTTTTTTCACCTCTTGGTTTAGGGCACCTTGAAGCTACAGCTGGGAAGTTGGGCTGAGCTGCAACACCAACATCAGCAGGGTCTCAGGGGACTGGGCTCCTCCAGGCAGCAAAATGCTGTTTCCAGCCCAGCCTCAAGTGAAGCAGGCTGATGGAAAAGCTCCTGCTAAATGCATGGAGCAGAGGTCAGTTTGCACAAAATTTCGGTTTCAGCACTGAAATATTGCACATAATTATAATAATTAAGACATTCAAGCACTTCTGGAAGACACAAGCTTGAGTGTCAAGCAATAAAATTGTACTTGTGAGCTTACACAAAGCACTGGAATAAGTTGAAACAAGTGGCCTGGAAACTTCCAGGTGCATTTATTTAAAACAAACAAATTTAAAAATACATATATTCTATTAGTATGTTGTAGCTTCCATATAAAATAAAAAAATAATAATAATTGAAAAAAAAAAGCTTTGATTTTGTCAGCATTGTTTTATCTGCAGGTTACCTGGGGAAAGACCAGTAGAGATAATTTTGTTAGTATTTTCCAAACACTGAGCCATCACAAAATTCTATGCAAGCTTAACATGCTGCAGTCAGAGCTGCTTCCAGTCTACACAACTTCAGCCTCCCCTCCTTAACACAGTTTTTGTCAATCTAATGTACTATTGTCAAGGCCGCAAGATTTCCCAGTTTCCCAAGAAGACATTTAAGTGCACAATAAAATTGTATCTGCAAACAAACTAAGCTTCAAACTTCAGTAATTCCTGTAATGGGAATTTGAAATGATGCAGACTTCTGTGGGCTCACAACACTCCAGAACAGGATCAAGCCAAGTCCCTGCCAGCCTGCAGCTGTTTATCAACACTGCTGAGTTTGACTCAAATATAACCAGCTCAGTCTGGCTGACAGCAGTTTTTGTTGAACTATCAACTTGCTGCATTATCAGAAAAGCTGAGAGTGACAAGGCCAGTCCTACTCCAGCCCACGAGTGACCCAGGCAGGACAGATCACACAGGACTAAGAAATTCTTCCTGCCATCTTTAAAGTAGTGGAGGCAAAGTGAAAATTTTGAGGCTCCTCGAGCCAACACTGTAAACAGTTCTAGTGCTGTTTTCACCTCAGTTACTGGTTCATTTTCTCCTGTATCTTCTTTCAGAAGAATGAATAATGTTTCAGCCTAAAGAAAAAAAAATTGAGAGATTTAAAACTTCTCAGTAATCTGTTGAGGGGACAACACAAAGAAACAAAAGCTCTTCAGCAGTGTCACTGAGTATCCTTAGCTAATCTGAAACATAGATGTAGTAAAAGACAGCAAACATCCACCTGCTAGAATAACTTAACTGCCATTATAATATGCAGTTTAATTTCAAATAAAGGACAAAGCACAAGATTTATTCATATTTAGGAATATTTTTATAAATTTTCCCTGTGTGTCTTGATAAATCATTAAAATTTCATATTTTAATTAAGTAGTTTTTCAAGCGCCATGTGAGTTAAAAAAAAAATATTCCTGCTTAAAGTTAGCCCTGCTCCTCACTCCTGACCATACCAGCAGGGGAGAAAAATCAAAAAGTATGGGAACAGGTTGTATTGCATAATCAGACAAAGAACAAGGGTTGACTTCCAGCAGGGAAAGCCAACTCCACACTCCAGCAATTCATCAGGTGTAATTCAGATCAGGAGGAATCACTTTATCACTTACAGTCATCTGCCCCATCTTACAGAACATAAACATCTTCTCTGGGATTCATGGACCTAACTTAGTACCTACCTAAATAACAAAGCTTTGCCTTTGTTATTTGCTACAGAGAAATATCCACTTCTGGGAGAGAAGTCCATAGATTGAGTAAGATAAATCTGTTTTTTTCTGAAGACTGGGAAGTTGGAGAATACAGTGTATGAAGGAAGGTGCACCTGTTGAGAAACAGGTCAGAATTTAAAGTTGGCAAGAAAGCACTAAAAATAAAATTAAACCACAAATCTACAACTGAAGCTCAATGTTAAGTTCAAATGTTCAGTTATATTCCCACCCTACATGACTCTACATATAGAACTCTATTGGAGAAAATGAGCAGGGAACACATCATGGAACCAATTATTGCAATTCTCAGGCCTACAAATCCTCAGATTAATTCAACAGTTTCACTGTTGGCCGGAATTCTGATAAGGCTGGCAAAAAAAACAAAAAACAACCCATAGTAAGACGTTTACAGTTACCAGCTGCTGAAAACTCACAATTGTTGCTGAGCTGTATTTACAGCACTGAAATTGAATCACAGATTGGTGAGGTTAGAAGGGACCTCAGAGTTTTCATCCAATTCCAACCCACTGCCATAAGCTGGGACACCTTCCACTAGACCAGGCTGCTCCAAGCCCTGTCCAACCTGGCCTCAAACACTTCCAGACATTTTAGAGGGCATTTTAAAAAGGTAAAGAATAAATGTTATTTTCAGAGCAACTTTACTAAAGAAAATAAAATTATACTCTTGTAAATGCAGAATGTCTTGGCCATATCCTGATCTGGTTGGTCCAGCACCTTTTGCAGTATCTTATCTGCTTCATATCAGTTTTATTATGTCACCAGCAGTATTTTGAGCAAGATATAAAAGAAATATTGCAATAAAAAAACTGAACATACCAATCTGACAGCCTCATCAGTGTCTCGGGAAGCCACTGCCAAAATCTCTGTGGTGGGATTAAAGGTCACACAGGTGGCAGAAGTAACAAGGTTCATTATGGCCTTAACTGGTTTAGGATGTTTTTCTTTGAGGCAGGCATCAGTAGTGTATAAATTTACAACTCCAGAAGATGAACTAAAGAACAAAATGAACAAAGATGATACTGAAAAGTAACATTCCAGTATACAACTGTCTCGTTATCTATAGCCACTACTCACCTGAAAATGTAATTTCCAATTATTTACTGGAGTCTACAATAATATTTTGTTTGGAGCTTGATTTTCCCTTGGAGTTTATAACAGTATCTAGTGGAGGAGTTTAGGTTTTTGCTGGACTGGATTTTCTTTTTTCTTATATAATAAGAGACTCAACTGTGGAGAGCCTTGATGAGCCCATCTCTTACCAGGATGAATTCAAAGCAAGGAGAGCTTGGTATCAAAAAATTCTGAAATAACTTCAAAGTTTTTTATTGTTTTGTTCTTGTTGTTGTTTGGGGGGTTTTTTGGGTTGTTTTTTTTTGGGGATTGGTTTTTTGTTTGTTGTTGTTGTTTTTGGGGTTTTTTTTAAAAACTGTAGCATAAGCTCACTTTAAAATCCTCTTCTATAGTGAGCTAGGAAAATATATATTGTACTCCTCTATTTGCTGTTCTCATTTAAAAGAATCCAGACACTGGCTAAAACTGCATCTCAGTAAATTTGGAGAAACAGTTTCAGCTTGTGGCTTTGAGTTGAGGACCCTTTTGAAAGGCTAACATGCTGTCTTGCAGAAGCCAAATTTAGACTACTGGGAAGAGAACTAGAAAAGGGAGAAGACCCTGAATTAACATTGCTGTTACAGAATTTGTGATTTTAGTCAGCATAATTTCAAAATTAACTGCTGAACTCATATGTGGCAATAGTAATACCACTATCACTCCTATTGTTTTAGGTGTACTATGGTATTTTATACTTACAAAGAGAAAAGTAAATTATTACCATAAAATAGAGAATATTAATTTATTAAGATAAAATAGGGAATATTAATCTATTCTTGCCTACTCTTCACTTATTAGAACCAAACCATGTTCCTACACTCCCACCAGCCACCCACAGGTCCACTGAAAAGCTTCAAAATGATAGCAGAGGAAGCTGTCAAAGTTCAGTCACTTACCCACATGCCACATACTGGTTATTTTTTGAAACAGCAATGCACTTTCCTTCCAAAGCACCTTCATCTTCAAATTTATGTAGACTCTTTCTGCTCCTCACATCCCAAATGAAAACTTCACCTTCCTCTGGTTGCAGAATGAAAGACATTAGAGAAAACACACATACAAGTCACTTTGCTAGTCCATTTTGCTAAAAAAAAAATAATTAGATGACAACTAGAAGCTAATTTACAACTATCAAATATAGGTATTTTAAAAGAACCCCAACAATTAAAGGCATACTAAAATAGTTAATTCCATTCTTTAATGATTGATCACTTTGTTGTATTTTTAGGAGAGATACTAGCATAAATTTTTTAAATTATTTTTCTAAAACTATAAGTGACTTCTAAGAACTCATGCAATTTAAATGGAATTATTACTAGAGCTGCTGCAATACTCACTTGAATAGCTGTATATTTTACTGCTGTCTGGGGTGAAAGCAGAGGCAGTGCACCTTCCATTCACCTTCATAGTGCTGATCAGCTCTTTTGTCTGCAGGATGAAGAACAAAGCCGACAGAGATTCCATCAAAAATCTACACAAAAGTTGCTTCCTGTCCCATAAAAAACTTAAGTTATCTACCCCAACATTCAGAGAACAGCACCAACATTGTCAGTGCCTGCAGAGCAGAGCACAAGCTCCTGACTCTTAACTGCAGCTGGATCAACAAACACTTGTTTGCTCTCTCACTGAAGGGCCTGAGTTGTACAAAACTGAACTGTCTCATTTAGAAGCATTTTTCCCTGTGAAAGTTTAATACAAATCCACCTGGCATCATAAGGCATTTTAAAATTCAGCTGAAAGATGGCTGTATGCATTATGAATCAGTGTGGGCATGATTCATGAACAGAGCACAGCAGCAGGCACTAGCATGACTCCCAAAAAAGCAGTCCTATATTTCTTCCACCCCCAGGTGCCTGTTCCCATGCTGTTTCCACTCCTCCTGCCAGCACAGTGCTTGTGCAAGCAGCTGAAATACAGCACTGACACACGACTTCTTCAAGCTGAAAACGCCGTGGAACTGCCCTGAGCTCCAGCAGCCCCATGGAGCTGGGGAACAAAGTCTCAGTGCTCAAAATAATTCCCTAAAGCTGCAGTGGGTTGATTCCACAGCACATTTTTGAGGGCTGTCACAGTACGTGTCATACCTCGGCTTCAGCTGAAAGTTAGATTGCCTTGCAGATGAGAAAAAAAGCAGAATCAAAAGGGAAAGGCACCAAGGAAGCAAAGCTACACCATGCAGAGCAAGTACCTTCATGGACAGCAAGTGAAGGTAACCTGAAGTTCCAATTAGCAGCATAAATGATCCATCTGGAGAGAGTTCGAAGTTCCTGAGGAATTTTTCCTCCACACCTTTAAAAAGAGATTTGAAACTTGAAATTGGTGCAATTTATTCTTCGGCCTCAATATTTAGAGGTAGGATGAATATGACTAAAACCTGACTCCAGCTCTTCATTTCTGCAATTTGCTGCCACAGAGAAGCTGAACTCAACCTTATCATGTGTGATAATTAATATCCCAGACAACTAACACTAAAGGTACTTTATTTCCTTGAAGACAAGTTAAAAATACAACCTCCAACAACCCACTGCACTTTGTTTTAAAGGAAATTCATGTGCCATCTCTATTTGGGACAGCTTCAACTGTGGCCACACACTCAGAGCTGCAAAACATACCTCGTACTTTTGGGATAGGGATGATATTCCCAGCCATCATGTCATACACAAAGAACATGCTGTGGTGAGTGCCAGTGGCTATAACTTGTTCTCCATCCACACTGAAACGAGCCTTATAAATTGGAAAACTGTCTAAATAGATGCTCTGTATTTTCGGGTTCCTTATACCGTCCACCTTCAAAAAAGAAAGTAACAAACCATGTTGTCATATTGAGGAATGTATCAAACACTTTTACAGAGAAAAATCATACCAAGTTCTCAGCTGAGACTTAAGTAGGAAGAGGCACACCACTGTGAAGCCTTAAATTCTTTCTCTCTCCTACAAATGATGTGGTTCTTAGCTCCTCACCTCATGTAACAGGCACTCCCTGCCTTTCTCATAGCCCTCACACCTCTTGCCCTGCCTCATCTCGTCCGTGCTTTATTCAAATAATCACTCTGCTGTGCTTTTTCTGAATGGAAACATCTGCTCTGATTTGGGTTTTCTTGCAGCTCTGTGAGAGTATCACATTCCACTTGTCTGACCATTTCAGAGACACTAGGCCATGCCAAGAATTCCTAAATAAAAGTAGGATCTTTAGTTTTCAGAGGAGCCTGGCAGTGTCTCGGGATGAACACTTTCTTCCTGCAGCATAGCTTCTCCATCCCCAACATGTCTGCACAGCAATTTTACAGTCCCAAAGCAAAGTGGGCTGCTCCCCCCACTACAGGCTCTCCAAACAACTCAGGAACAAAAAATCTCCTTAGTACTTGTCACTCGCAAACCTTCAAACCAAACGTTTTTAAACACAAATCTTCAGCTAAAAACTCTGAGACAAAGAGTTTGCCAGTACTCTGCACGTGCTTGGTGTGAAGTCACAGGTGGAAACTCCTTTCAAGATGCCTTTAACCAAGGAATTTCCATTGTAACCGCATTGTGTAACCACTGACAGTGTGCAGAGGAAGAGAGAAAACAAAGTCCACCATTCCAGGCTATTTCATGTACACTCAAAAAAAAGGTTCTATGTCAGTGACCATCAGCAGAGTAGAAGCTGAAGCTCTTCACCTGGAAGAGGGACACGGAGCGATCATGGCCAGCTGTCATCACCACTTGAGCTGAAGGATGGAACTGCACTGTCACCAGCTTTCCATTGGCAAAACGTTCCTGGTTTGCAGGAAGGCAGGTGCTCACCTACAACACAGATCAGACAGTTAAAAAAAAAACAAACCCAACAGTCACTTATGCTGAATAAAAAGCCATTTATTCTTTACACTACAAGACCTCAAGCCCTGTGATGAAGTTCTGGGCAGCGTGATGTGAGCAGAGCACACACAGCCTGTCCAGGGAGCTGCTGCAGTACAAACACAGGCTGAACTCACCAGCCTTTCTATCTGCACTGAAACTGAGTGTAAAACCAGCTGCATTCTGACTCATCTGATATAGCTGTAGGAGACAGTGTGAGAAATACTCATTTCAGGCTGTCTTTTAAAGATCATTTCAGTCACTTCAAAGTTGTGGGAGAATTCCATCCTCCATCTGCAGAAATTAAAATCCTACTACAAGATGCTATTTAGAGTGCAGAAAATTCTTATGTCAAACAATACACCTCAGTTTATTGTTTCATGCTTTCATGTGAACTGCTCAATTTGCTTATCCTCTAAAGCTTCTAGTTGCAGAAACAAATTCACGGAATCACTAATTTTATACACAACGAGAGTCAAAGTGTGCACTTAAGCCCAACTGAAGTGGAAAGACAAGATTTGTCTTTACCTTCAAAATCCCTCTTGGCAGAGACTCTGAGCTTGTTATGAAATTGCCAGTCCTGCGTAGCAGATCATCATCTTCATCACTGTCACCTCATTAAACCAAAGCACGTGGAATCAGCCAATTGCACAAGCACCCACAGCAAAATCAACACATTCCTCACTGAAATGAATTAAATTAAAGCACACTGAAGGAACAAAGCTGACATAGCCAGCATTCTATCACACTACTGAAACTGAGAAGGCATCAAAAGTAATTATCTTCTAGCAAGAACAGGGAATCACAAAAACACTTATCAATATAGCACAGGGGATATTTACTATCACTCAAAGTCCTTTTGGATTTCTTCCTGTTTTCCAAATCAGCCCAAGCAGGAACTCCTCCCATGGCTTGCTGAAACCTTATATAAAAAAAGAGGAAAGAGAAAAAAACATAACTTTTGTGAGACAGCAATTTCTTTCTATGAGTTAAGTAGTTAGAAGCAGCACAGTCAGAATTTTGCAGGATTACTTGTACTTAGAACACAATGCAAGTTTTTTAATTTATATTTAAAAAAAATTGAAGATTTTACTATTTCTTATATAATTCCCTAGAAGATAAATTTCTTGTATATTTCTTGTATATCTCCCTAGAAGACAAATGATCAATGACACTTTGATACAAGTATTAAACAAGTTAGTCCAGTGCTAATGCACATTTTATTTACTATTCTTAGTATCATTTGTTATTTATAAACACTGCAAATACTGCAAGAAGCCCTGACTTTAAAGAGACCACATGAAAACAGCAGATAAAGAGAAAAGTGACTTTGAATGTCACATAAATATATTTTAGCTTAAAAAATTGTTGGATTGGAAAGGGAGATCACCCAGTCCAACTCCATGCTGGAGCAGGGTCACACGGAGCAGGTGACATGCCAACACGTCCAGGTGGGTTTGGAATGTCTCCAGAGGGAGACTCCACAGCCTCCCTGGGCAGCTGATCCAGAGCTCTGGTAACCTCCACGGAAAGAAACTCTTCTTCAGGTTGAGATGGAACTTTTTGTGTTTCAAATTATGGTCACCGCCCCTTGTCCTGTTCTAGGTGCCACTGAAAAGAGTCTGGCAACATCCTTCTGGCACCCACCTCAGAGAGCAACAATCATGAGATCAATATAATCAATACAGTCAGCCACAAAAACATCAGTGAAACTCACTGTTCCTCAAGTCTTTTCTTTAGTTTTTTCTTGGTGAGCGTTGTCTCGGCATCACTTTTCATGAAATCTTTCCTGTACTTATGGGTCATATCAACACTAGAGGGTAAAAACAAACAAAACAAACATCGTTCAAAGCAAGGCCACTTATAAGCACTCCCACGTGTAACACATAATTCCCATCACCTAACCTGAACTTACTTTTCCTCAGCTTCATCATCCTCATCTACCCAGGCCGGCTTTTTGAGCGGTAAGTCACGTTTGGCTTCATTTTCCACCCCCGAATCGCTGGACTCTTCCTGGAGACCCTTCCCCTCTGCAGCGGCAACCTGAAAACAACCAAACGGACCGTGTGACCGGGGACGCGGCCGGGGCCCGGGGGACGCCGCTCTCGGCTCAGGCCTGGATGTGCCGTACCCGTCGAGGCCCGGCCAGGCGCCGCAGCAGCTCGTCCTCCTCCGCGTTGAGGCTGTCGCCGAACACCAGCTCCTCCAGCTCCCGCTCGGCTCCCGACACGCGGCCCAGCGCCTTCAGGTGGCGGGCGCGCCGCGCTGCCTCAGAGGCCGCCGCCTGATTCCCCACGGCCAGGAGCCGCTTCGCCGTTCGCTTGGGTTTCGTCATTTTACCCGCTCTGGGCACTTTAGGCGCTTTCTTCGCCGCCTTCATTCCGGCTGCTTTCCCCGCTTTTGACGCTCCCTGCTCCCGCCCCGCCATGTCGCGCATGGCGCGCCAGACCCGGAACCGGAACACGTGCACCCCGGTCACGTGAGCCCTGCCTGGACCCGCCCCCCGTCTGCGATAGGCTCATGACACCGCCCCGCCCCCGCCCCCGGCTGCTATCCGTGGTCACGTGACTCCTCTCTTCTCTTCCCTTTGCCCCCAGCTCCCCGCCCATCCCCAGTTCCACGTGACGCGGCCCAGCTGGGCCGCTCCATTGCGAGCCCCCCGGGGGGGATCACCGACCCGGGAGGCAACACTCGTCCCCCACCGGCTGCTCATCGGCCCCTCACCGGGACACCCCGTGCGCACCGCCACTCGCTGGCGGCCACGGCTGCTCCTACGCCCCGCGGTCCCTGCCTTGGCGCGGAGTGCCCACCCCCGGTAACAAATGATTTCGCCCGGGGGGGAGGGGGAGGCGTATGGCAGTGGGGCCGCTCCGCGCAGCCCGATCCCGGCGGGGGCGTGTCCGCGCCTGCGCAGCCGCGCGCTCGTGTTGTTGATGTCCCGGCGGCCGCCGTCGGTCGTGCTCGGTTCCCGGCGCTCGGAGCGGCTGCACCGCCCGGCCCATCCCCGCCCCGCCGCTCCCCGCCCCGACCGCGGGCACCCGCAGCGCCCGAGTCCCTGGGGCGAGCGCGCAGAGGCAGCTAAGCGGCTCCTGCCCATGAGGGCCTGATGGAAAACACAAAGGAGCTGGTGAGTACCGGAGCCCGCGGGCGGTGCAGCCCCGCGGCAGCCCCAGCCCCTGGTGGGGGGAGCGGCGCGGGCCGAGTGTGGGGCGGGAGCGGAGCGATCCCCGGTGCCCGTGCGGGGGGAGGCGGCCTCGCAGCGTGAGGGGGAAGGTCGGGACAGCCGCGGCTGCTGCGGGGGCGGCCCCGCGGGGTGCGGGTGCTGTGCCCGGCCCGGGCGGGGGCTGCGGGGGCTGCGGGGGGCTCTGCCGGAGCCGCGGGGGCTGTGCCCCTTTGTCGGCTTTTGCCCTTCGCCCCTCTTTCCTCTTTCCTCGGAGAAAAGTTTCAGCTCCTCGCTCGGATCCGTTTCTCCCCCTGCTCCGCTGTAGTGCCGGGCTTCAGCAACTTCCTCCAGCAGCTCCAGCCTTTAAAGTTCAGTTTTCCAGCGTGCTGGAGAGTTTTTTTCTTTATTATCAGTGCTTCAAAAATTTTGGATTTTTTGCGGCCACTTCCCCCCCCTCCCCGCTCCGTGCGATTTTTATGACTTCTGATGTTGTGACTTTGTTCTTTTTGTGAGGAGTAGTAAACTCGTGAAACCAGTTTCACTTTCAGGTTGTTGCTGGAAATGTTTGAAAGTGTAGCAATTTCTGCCCGGTGTGGCTTTGAAAATCAAAAGTCCTGCTACAAAGCATATGCTGATTATAGTAAAAAATTCTGTGTGTGAAAAAGCAATTTATTTTAAAATGTGGCTGGCAACTGTTGCGATTTTTCAAATCTAAACCTAGTCAAAACTGAAAGCTGCAGGGCAATCTCTTGTATTTTAAATTAAAATTATTTTGCAGGCTTGAGGACCTGCATTTACCTATTTATTGTATTCAACACTTTAATTTTGACTTAAAAGAAATGGACTATGGCTATGAGAGTCTAACCTGGAGCCTTCAATGAGAACTAAAATAATATATTCCCTTAAGAAGGCAATAAAACTTGGCAGGTTAATTGTCTTAACTCATTTCTTCGGCCTAGGCATCGATTTGAGGAAGTGAGTAATGTAGGCTGTAGGAAACTGTGCAGAGGGATCTTGTTTCCCAGGAACACTTTAGGTGTTGTTCCTGAGAACATGTGGGCTTGTGCACATGCAGAAAGATTGCAAACTGGAAGTAAGAATTCTCTTCGTTGTTCCCTAAAGAGCAAGGTGCCTCTGGCAGCAGTGGTAACATGCAGAGAAGTTCCCTCTCATTGGCTTTCATTTCTCTTACCTTCTAAAATTTGATTTAATTTTGCAAGGCTTTTCATACCTTCTGCAAAGCACTACTGCATTCCTTCATTTCTCAGGTAAGTTGGTACCCTCTGGGGGTGTGGGGTCCTTTGCTGAACCTGGCTCTGAGCACGTGGAATGAATTTAGGTGTTGGAAGACTTTTGTTTGGGGACGGTGGTGGTTTTGGGGTTCTTTGCATTTAAATTTATTTTATTTGGGGTTTTGTTTGTTAATTTTAATGGTAGCACGGTGTTTAAAGTGAAATATTTGCCTCTTCCTTTGCCTCACTCCTGTAAGGGCCTTATAGAAATGTAATAGAGTTTGTAACAGATTTTTAGTTTTATCAAAACTCAGATATTTCACAGATTAATCATCGCACCCCCCTCCAAAACTTCCTGCTAATGTGATATATTTTTTTATGAAAGAGTCTCCCCTCTTGTGTGAAACCCCCTGGGGAAGAGGCTATGGACAAAACCATTGGCAAACAGCAGAAACTGGCTTCAGACAAAATGCTGTCATACATAGCAAATGAAGAGACAGGAAAAAACATTTCTGTAATTTTCCAGCAGAGATTTTACTTATAATAAGAGTGGAAGGCACATTTCCAGATAGAGGTGAGTTGCTTATATAAAAAAAGTAAGTGTGGTTGGTTCTGATTTCCAAGAATCCCAAGATGTTTAGTTTTGGGGGTCTTTGTTTGTTTGTTTTTAATGAAAGCTGAAAGTGTGTTTTCTTTAAATTGGTATCATGTTTGAATTTTCTTTTTTGGTCATGTTGTGAGGCACAATTAGGCTTCAGTTCCACAGGAACAAGCTACTATTCTACTGTAAATTATTTTGTCCAACTTGCATTCAAAGAGTTGTAATAAATTAGTTCTGTTGTAGTGTTTCCTTAACATCCAGAGCTGAAACTAAGTTTGTAGCATAAAACATCCATGAACTATTGGAAACAAAACCTGTGCATCAGGTTTAATTTTAACTTGGAAATACCCTTGGATCCATTCAGGATATGTGATTAAAGTAAATCTGTCTTATGACAGACCCCTGGCTTGAAGGTTGTGGTGACCTCATTGTTGACCTTGGCCTCAGATCCCATCTGTCCCTAGTTCTGTCCTGTTTGGGAGGGCTGCAGCTGAATATAGGAAGTGATGCCTCTGTTGAAGTGCTGGTGTACCTTTGCTGGGCTACAGCTCCTGTACTCCAAGCTCCAAATTGCTTCCATTCTTAGTTCAAGCCCCAGATTGAATTCAAAAGTAACAACAACCATTTGGAGTGGTTTGAAACCTTTCTGTGGCTGTTTTGGATCTTCCTCCTGAGGCCAGCTGCGCTTACCTGGTGGTAATAGTTTTGGTTACATAATAATGGGGTGTTTTTCTTGCAAGTTCTTACCTTCAAAACTCTTTTGCATAAATTTTGGCAATGCTGGAGCATAGTCTTCATTAAGACTCTAAAGCCATTTCCTAAGTAAGTGTTTGATGTCTAAATAACATGAAATGGTATCTGGTTTTCAAGACTCTAAAGCCATTTCCTAAGTGTTTGATGTCTAAATAACATGAAATGGTATCTGGTTTTGCCATGGATTGCTCACGCTTTGTGCTCACTTTTTTGTGTTGTAAGAGTAGTTACTAAAGTCAAAGAATGTATGCTATAATGTGTTGACCAAATTCAATGTGTGTGTATATGTATGTATACAAAAATGTATGTTTAGAGTGAGAAACTGGTTATTTTCTTCCTTGTTTGGAGTTGCCTTCCTGCTCTCAGGGAAACCAGTTTCCCTAACTGTGTTCTTTTTCATACCTTTTACCTTATGTAATGCTTAATTAAGAGAATTTCTTAAAAATGCTCTGTGGTCAAGTATTCACAGGGAGGAGGGGAAGAACAGGAAAATGGGAAGTTGGGCAGAAAAAGAAAGCAGTTCTTAAGAGTTCCTTTCTCCACCCATCGCTTCAATAAAGAAAAGTATGCAAGAAACCCCCTGAGCAAAAATAGTACAGGGTAATTTACTAGTGCTGCTCATGATACATTTTGCAGTGCTCTGACTAAAAACCTCTGTTGAGGAACCAGTAATCTTATTAGGAAAATAAACCTTAGCCAGAATGCCTGAAAGTTTGTCTTGTTCTTTTGTTTGTGCATTGCTTTGGCTTAATGTACCAATAGACTCTATTAGCAGAGTAGTTACTCAAGCTGCTGCTCTTTTGGCATTAACCAGCTGCAAGGTTCTGTTTAATAGCAAGCCAGGCTCCTGCTCCAAGCAATTTCTGTGGATAGACAGGAGCCTGGTCCTTGTTTTGTTAGAAGTTGAATACTGTTTATATTGTGTTTTGAGGAAAAGACAATCTCCTCAGCATGATTTTTAGTGCTAAGTTCAGCTCTGAAGAGTAGGAAGCTGGTTTTGTATTGATTTAAGGGTTGTTTTTTTGGGGTTTTTTTGTGCACCTCTTTTTGAATCCAAGGACCTGCAGCTGCTGTGGGGAGATGCTGCTTTGGACATACAAGGTCTTGCTGTTGTCTGTGAAGCCTAAAAGGACTCGTCAAGAATTGCTTGTCCTTCACATGCCTAGAAATGACTTCCAACATTGCTTGTTCTGTTACCTCATCAGGGATGAGATGAGGCTCTTTGATCTGTCATTTCCTGGGCTCTCCTTTTGCCTTTTCTGAAGATAGGAGGGATAACAATAAAGGGAGAGAGAATGTGCATAAGGTAGATGGTTCCAGTTTCCTGGTATCTCTGATGAGGCTCACCATAGTGTATTACAGGACCAGTACTTCAGGAACTGTTGATGAGATGGTTGAGAGCTTCTGGAAAAAGATTGAGGCCCTAGAAAATCAGAAAGGGGTAAATTTTGTACTTAATTTTCAAAAGAAAAAGGTGGAACCAATTAGCAAGGACTCAGCAGAAATTGCCAACTGCTGCTGTACCAAAGCTGCTGCTTTATCTTGGTTATAATTCTGTTTGAGGTATACATTGTCCTTCTTGTAAGGATGTGTCTTTGACCTTTGAATTCAAGCAGTGCTCCTACTTTTTTCACTTCCAGATGCTAGAGCTCCTTTTCTTCATCTGAATTCTACAGGAAGGGTTTTCAAAGCTTCCTCATGTTCACTTTGTTCCTACAAATGCTGTGTTTCAGCATGGGTTAAAAAGAACCTCTGTGGTGTTTATTATCAAAATAGAAGTGTTTTGATCTGCTCTAACAAAATTTCAGCATAGGTATTTGTATATCATCTTCCCTAACTTTCACCTACTTTTGTGTACGAAGTATTTTGTTGGTTTTTTTCCTGCAAACTCTGCCGTTTTGAAATCTCACAAAACATTTTGAGTCATTTCCCCAATTGCAATCCCGGTAACTACAAATGAACATTAAGAATGTCCTGCGTAAATTATCTGGCAAAAGCTGAGATACAAATGTTTTCTAAAAACTACAGTATTATTTTTTAAAATAAGCAAACTGCTGATTTGAATTGCAGATTTGATATTCAATAATTTTGAATTGGAGCAGTTTGGCTGAATATTAAGTAAATGGAAAGGTGATACATGAGGTTTGTTTTGACAGTGTAGTTAAACTGAAAAACTTGATGATTGCTACTTTTGAAGTTGTATAAAACTGAAGAATGATTTTTCCTAATTGAGCGCCCAACTTTCCATTTACAAAGAGAAGCTGTTTTCCTTCCCATCTGTGGATATTTTGGCAAACAGCTTAACAGTAATATTGAGGTTCTAAGTGGAAGTGATACAAAAGAGCCAGGTGTACTGTTGTGGTAGTCCTCCTAACCTTGCCCTGTACTTCTGGTCCTTCACCTTGCTCCCAGTTCTTCCACCTTCCCTGGCAGTGGGAGCAGAGCTGGCATGGGGAATTGGAGGGACTGGGAATGGGCTGCACTTCAATTCCTTCTGACTGGCATCAGCATTTCAGACCACTGAGCAAAGTTACCACCCTATAGGGCCAGAGTTCTCCAGTCTGGAGTGGGAAGGGGATATCCTAAGACAGGCTTGTACTGCAGCCTCCATAAGAGAGCTGAGGCCATAGAATCACACCTTGGTGTGGGATGAGGCCCTAATCTCTTAGTGAAATCAGACCAGCTGTCTTAAAGAGGATAAGGGCATGAGGAGGGAGATCCTTCCCTAGGCTTTGAAACACCACAAGTATCTGTCCATAAAACCTTCTAAGCATCATAGTGCTCTGGGAGTACTGCTGGGAATGGTTCATACGGAATCACAGTTTATATCTTAGCAGAGACTGTGGTCAAGAGAACTTAAATACCGAGATGTTAAGGAGTTCCTAAAATCTTAAGGAAGATGAAGTTTTCATCATCTGCTCTGGAAATTTCTGGCAGTGTTGGCAGGACACTGTATCCATGGTGACGTTGTGCTCATCTTCTGCCTTAAGCTGCACACATGTGCACACACAAGCAAGTCACTGTCATGCATGTTGGTGGCAGATGGGACAGGTGACACTGCTGCCAGCACGGGTCAGAGTCAGCCTTTGTCTGCCATGGCTCAGTGTTTCCTCTAAAAATCCCATAGGCTGGTTTCAGTGCCTTGAGGAAGTTGTCAGGTTATGCCCTATCCTAAATTTGATTTGGTTTAATAATTTTTTTTTTTTGGCTGGGGTGTATATTCATAATTAACATTACACTGACTTGGTTGTTTTGTTTCAGAACTACTGTAAGTGTGTTTAAAGTGTTTGCCTTATTGCATAACCTTTTGTGCTTACTGGGTTTTTTTGCTAAGACTGGGTCAGTGTGGAAATCAGTTTTCCCTTGTGGCTATTAGGAAATTCTTCCATAATAGGATTAATTTAGATCTCCAAGTAAAATATATTATAATAAAGGCATAGCATGGCAGAAAAAGGCTTGAAGGAAATGTAACAACAAAGATGTTCAGGCATATCCTCTAGGAAAGGGGTTTGGGGAATTGTGACGAAATCTTGAAGCTATGAATCCAAATGCAATTTAAGAAGGAAAATCCCAATCACATTACTTTTCTGTCTACACTGACTTTTAAATAAAATTAGGTCTTGGAAAAGGAAGTTGAGCCAAAAGCTTTTTAAATTTTTCTTATTTTCTTGTCTGTACTTCACTTCTCTAACTTGTGCTTTTACTGTAGATTTTTTTTTTTTTTGGTCTTTGTTATTTCCTCTCAAACTCAGTAGATACTAAGATTATGGAAATAATACGAAATATAAAATTTTTTTAGCTTTATTTCCTCTCAAACTTAGTAGATACTAAGATTATGGAAATAATATGAAATATAAAATTTTTTTTAGCTTAATGACGGCATCACATAGGAGTAGCCTTGTTTCAAGGGAGCTGTGTAAGATATTAATAAGTGAAAATTGTCACTGTATCAAAATGCATGTGGTGGATGTGCCTCAGAAAAAGTACATCTGTTAATCTCTTGCTTCTTTGCTGTCTTTGCTGGAAATTGCTTAACTGTCATGCCTTCTACAAAATTGTGTGGTTTTATCCTACTTCAGATTTTTTGATTATAGAAAAACTATTATGTAACAAGTTTTTTGTGTATGACAGTGGCAAATTAGTCACCTTTCTCTCTTTCAGAATTTGTACAGACCCTATTGCCATAGTAACTGAGCTCTTCATAATGGTTAATGTATTAATCCTCTGAGCAGCCCTGTGAGCTGGAGAGGTGTTCCTGCTTCACACAGGAGTCACGGACTCATGGGGGAGCTGAGTGATTTATGGATAACCCCACAAGCCAATAAGAGCAGAGAGCCTCTCATTCCTTTTGCTGTGGTATAAGGGCCCTCTTGATTGAACTGTCTTTTCTCTGCCCAGCTTTCTCAAATGAGTGAATTTTAGTGGAATTGGCTGCAGCCATCTGGAATGTGCTCATTTGCATATAAGATCAGTGTGGCTGTCAGTGTTCAGCTCATCAGACTTAATGAACTCTAAAGATACCAAGGAAAATAAATATATGGATGGCTCCTGTGTATTCTCAGTGGATCATGAGATACATTGTTTCTTTCTGTATATGACAACACCAAAAATTGGCCAATTTTGATTGTACCAATGCTCACGTAATTGGCAATACATGGCTCATGTCTGTGCTGATACAGCAGTGCCTTAGCATATCTGCTTTTGAAGACTGACCTGTGAAACTTCTTAAGCTTGACTTTGGAATTTTGCATTCAGAACATTCTGCTATTCTTTGGGGTTTTTTTGTTGTTTGGTTATTTTTAATTTTTAGACAGAACATAGTTCGCGAGTGGAAAGGAAACGTCGAGACTCGTTCGGGATGTTTGACGGTTATGATAGTTGTAGTGAGGACACCAGCAGCAGCTCCAGTTCAGATGAAAGTGAGGAGGAGGTTGCTCCTTTGCCGTCCAGTCTCCCAATTATCAAGAACAATGGGCAAGTTTATACTTATCCAGATGGCAAATCTGGCATGGGTAAGTATGTGCTGTGTGAGTGCAAGGATTTGGATATTGATGGATTTTAGCGTGAGCTGGGTTGTGACGGTCCCATCCCAAGTGTTGGTCCCAACTGAAAAGGGATCAAAGCAGCTAAAGGGTTGGGGTTGGTTGGTTTTGAGAAGGGGAATTTCTTGGGTTCTGTTAAACTGAAATAAGAGAGGGTTTGAATCCTGCTGACAGGGAAGAAATACTATGGGAACATCTGCCCTCCTGTCAAATGTTTTGTGTTCAAACATGCATGTGTGTGTTCTCATGTGCATTAGTTTTATTCTTTGAGGAGCTTTGAGGACAATGTCAGTGTGTCCTGTCTATGCCAGGGCATACCTTTTCTCTGCCCTTTGTTACACGTACAATGCATTTAAATATTTCTTCCTATACTAGGAAAATTTCATTACTGCTACTGTATAAACCTGTTAGTGTATATCTGTTCACTCCTCACTAGCTGAGAGGTGGAGGATCCAGGAAAATAAATTGAAAGGGAAGATTTCTTTTGTTATCAGAGAAAAATATTTTATATGAAATCCTAGAGCTCTCTCTGGGCAGAATTTGGGTGTTTTCTCACTAGCATTAGTTGGTCTCTGAGTCTTACTCATCATGGAATACACTGTGGGTGATGCTGTCAATCTCTGAAACGTGATTCTAGCCAGAAAAAAACACTAGTGTGCTGGGGTAATTGGGATATACTAATTTATGAATCAAACAGTAAATCTGGTTTTATTTCAGGTTGGAAGTATTCTGTGTTTAGAGGAAACCAAGATTGGCAAGCCCAGATTCAAAGCAGATGCTTCCTTGAGAGCAGTGAAACACCAAAAATCAGCTTCAGCTGATTTAGCTGGGTCATTCACTTGCACCGGAGATGAAATTGATAGGGAGCAGAAAGAGGCACTGTTTCACCAGTGAACTTGAGGTTCTTGCTGTTTCACTGATATTAGTAGTGGTATTTAAAATTTTTTTTCCTGTGCAATTTTCCTTGGGGTAAAGCCTTCAGAAACTGTTTGATGGTACCACCTCCAGGACCTTCATTCTGTCCTCTACGTTCTGATTTTTTTTTTTTTCAATTTTAACTACACTGTTAATATTTTGAGGGTTTTTTTCTTTCTTCTGATTAGCTACGTGTGAGATGTGTGGCATGGTTGGTGTCCGGGATGCTTTTTACTCTAAAACCAAGCGCTTCTGCAGTGTGTCGTGCTCCAGAAGCTATTCCTCCAACTCCAAGAAGGCCAGCATTCTGGCCAGGCTTCAGGTAGCGGTACAGACACCGTTTTCTTTACATCCTTTCTGTCGTCTGTGGTGGTGAAATTGGGTATTTGTACAGATGGGCTGCATGTTTTAAGATCAGTTTCGTGGGTTTGAGGGTTTTCTTAATAGGTATATGTCTGTTGACTTAAAATATTAATCAAGTAATCATCCAGGCAGGTTTGTAGTATTCAAGAAAAGATAGAAAAATGTCAAGAAATATCATTATACCCTGTCTCAGAGTCATTGCAACAAATGCCAAGAAATTGCATTCCTGTAAGTTACATTAAAAGTTCTTCCTTTTGACCTGCTTTTAAGAGATATCTTTTTTTCAGGTAAACAACTGTGGCTCTATAGTGCTGTTCAAGTTGGGATATTAGTACTAAAGTCATCTTTTGGACACTCCTTACTACTGGTTTTTAAATTTATTTTATAATACATGTGTGATACTTAGTCTCTGTGTATTTCTGATTTTAGTTTAAATCTGTCAAAGTTAGCTGCAGGCCTGTGGAAATTTCCTGACGGGAGTTTAGAAAGATGTTATTTACTTGGGTTGTGTTTGGTTTTTTTTAGGGTAAACCTCCAACAAAGAAGGCTAAAGTTCTACAAAAACAGCCCTTAGTGGCTAAATTAGCAGCATATGCCCAGTACCAAGCAACTTTACAAAACCAGGCAAAGACAAAAGCAGGTAACAGCATATAAACAGAGCTGAAACAAAAACACTGAAAGATTTGTGCCTCACGAGCAGCTTCCTAACTGAAATAACTTTCCCTTAGCAGCTGTCCCTGTGGAAGGTTTCAGCTGGGGTAACTACATCAATAGTAATAGCTTTACAGCAGCTCCTGTTACCTGCTTTAAACACGTGAGTATTTCTTTTTGTGCTTTCCTTCTCTGTATGTGAATACGTGAGTCTGTGGAAGTTCTTGAACTTATTTTTTCAAAACATTAATATCCAATTATTTTTCATTATGTGAGTATGACTACTTTTTAGATAAATTATCCTTTAAAATCATTCTGAACACCATCAGTTATTTTCATCATAGATACACTCTCAAAAACAAAAAAGAAGGCTCTTACATACTTGAGAATTGTTTTTTTTATGTTCAAGTCACAAAATCATCCCATGTACTGCCAAGTAACAAACCAGCCAAGTCAAGCTGTACTAAAAACAGTTACAAAAGGCTTTTTAGATTAAGTCAGGCTTGATCCATTGTATTGGACTGATCTTTTCGTTACATATTTAGATTTGGGGGTTTTTTTCTTTATTTTTAGTCAGATTCTCCCTGTCAGTCATGCTGCCTGGTAATCTAGTATGGGGGAAAACTAAGGCAGTTTAGAAATCTGAAATTTAAAAAGTTGGTTTTCTTTGTTTTTAGAGTTCCAAAAGTTTCAGACAAAAAGACATTCTTTAATGACTGAGGAAATTAGGGGTTGGGGAAAATATTTAGTGCCATCTGTCTTTAATGTGTTTATAAAATTCCACACATGAGACATTAGACTGACAATTGAAATATTGTCTGTACTTCATGTCTCTTAAGTAAAAGCTTTGACAAAAGGTGGTTCCTCAGCCTATTTTTTAATTTCAGAAGTTGAAGTGTACTGTATTACAAAATTTTTTTCTTGCTCTAAATTATGTGCTGAAAGTCGTGATCAAAACAAACGTTTTTCTTCATGGAAGTTGTCCATGAGAGAGAAGAGAAATATTTTCTCTTCAGCGCAGGAATTCCTGCTGAGCCCTCTGGGATCATAAACCAGTGGGAGATGAGGGCTCCTGGCAGTTGGCACTCTGTGAATAGTACCCTTTATGCTCAGAGGCCTCAGCTACTGCCCAGAACAGAGCCTTGCCGAGGAGAACTTGGGGAATTTGTATCAAATTCCGCATGCTCGAGTCAGCACGTTTGCACTTTGCTTTCACAGCTATGTGCATGTAATAAGTGATTTCATAATCCATATCAAAAAGTATCATTTGATAACGTGGACTGTGCTGTTGGATCTGCAATGGCTCAGGGTGTGTGGCGTCCTGTACTAGAGACTGCTACAGTCGTCAGATCACTTGTAAGTTATGTTCCAACATTGCATTTTATTAGAAGCAGTTGTATCTCCCTTTCTCACTGCTTCATTCATTCAGGTGCACAGTGCCCCAATAATGTGAACCAAGACCACACTCATGGTCACATTGTACCTTGAAAATTTTCACAAGATAATGGCAACAGTGCTGCCAAGTAGCCTGAAAGTTGTTTCTTTTCTGTCCTCATTTTCCTTTTTCATACAAGTAAAATGCAAATCCTGCTGTTTTCTTTGGAGATTTCTACTTCTTTGGTGGATATGAGTTAGTGTTATGAGGGTATGATTTACATTTAACTTTACTGTGATTATTTATTTGAAAAATACATTATTTAGACCAGTCAGAATCTGAAAAACACATCAGTGCTCTTTTGTTAGGTCCTTGTCTTTGTCCCACTCTCCATTGATAACTAAACAGTATTCTTTTTGACTTTCTGGAAAGATTATTGCTATTTTCTGTGTACTGTTTTGCTTTGATTTGTAAAGTATTGCATTAGTTGATGTTTGTTTACCATCCATATTATGGATTTCATACACCTGTATGTGTGTGATCGAATATATAAAGCTATTCTGTTCAAGATCAAAGTTTTGAGTTGACAGTAAAATCATGACAAATCTACCCTTAAATTCATTATTCAGTAAAATTTATTGAATTTACTGGTTATACTCGGTATATCTGTATGGATATTTGATAGGGAACATTATGATCAATATTAAAGAAAATTGAGAGGAATTATGAGATGTGAGATTTGGCTTTTTTTTTTAAATAACCTGGCATACTTGAGTATCTTGGGTCTGATGTAGATTTCACACATCAGTTTTTCTGGTTTTGTTTTTTTTCCTGGGAAGTTATTTCTTCTTCAATTTAAAACAGCTACATTTTAGAATTAAAGTATCTAAATCTTGGGAAGTTCTTTCTCTTTATGATAAGGATTCATTTCAAAGTATTTTGATGTGCTTTTTGTGCTTCCATGTTCAATTTATTCCAGACTTGAGTGTTAAGTAACACTAATGAAATTCAGTAGCAATAGAGTGGCCATGCCCATGACTTCAGCATTCAGTAAACTGAAGTAGGGAGCTGCTTTGGTTTATGTCCTACAGGAAGCCCATGTCAATGCCAGAATTCCCATTTGTGCACCTTGCAGCTGCTTTTTTTTTTTTTTTATTATTTTGTCAAATTACATTAATCAGGCACACAGCAGTAGTTGCTGCAAGGAGAAAAACTCAATGTTTTTAGTATTGAGTTATAGTTTAGTCACATACAGTGAGCTCATTGCTGACCTGCATTCCACTTTTTATCCTCTAAACGCTTTTTACTCTTTTCTATAGTTGCTTTTATTAGTTCAAACCATTCCTACAACTGAAAGCAAATTACAGTGGTTTGAGTTATTTCTCAGTACTACTTACTGGACAGTTTTATGCACAATTAAGAGCAATTATTTCTTTTCACTCCGTTGCTAATGAGAGACACATTTCCTGAAGTTCTTTCTTCCACCTGAATTTTATTCTGAGCCAAAATATTTTCATTCTCTTGATTTCATCTATTTTTAAACTATATCCAGTGATTTAAGGGAGCATTTCCAGGATGCTACACTGGGTGGCAATGTTCTGCGTTGAAGCTTTTTGTTTAAACCCTTTTGCATGTTTTCTCCTCTGGCATTACCTGTTGTTGGGGCACTGCTCACACACCAAGTTTCAGCATTCTATACAATTCAGGAATTGGTAGCATCGCCATCAGGATTTGCTATTAAAATCCTGATTTAACTTAAAATCCAGAATCATGGCAGTGTTGATGCCATCCAAAACCTCTAGAAGCCACTTACTTAAGCCATGTGAGCTCTTTATTCAGGTGCGTATGTGGAATACTTGGCGTTTAGGTGCTCCTGTCAAACAGGCCCTTCCTGACTGCACCTTACCTTGCAGAGAAGGCCCTTGGTGCTCACAGATAGACCCCTCCCAGGTCATGTCTCGGAGCAGGAAGCCAGGAACCAGCTCTTCCTTGTTTGGGAGTGATGTGACGTGGATCTCTTCGTCATGAGTCTGAAAGGTAAATTTGTTCTTACCTGTAAATGATGGTTCTGCTAGTTCCATGCCAATCCAGACTGCAGTCACCTTTTAATCAGCAGATAAGTAAGACTTAACACTTCTCTAGTGCATTTTGAGTTTTTAAGAGCACTCTTCAAACATTGATTGATTAATCAGATGAGACAGAAGAGAGATGAAGGAAGATGGCTGTCACAGCCCTGGTTTATCCAGGTCTTCCTGCTTCAAGAATATCCCTAATGAGTGAAGGAGACTAACATGGTGCAGTGTAGCAGGTGTGCTGTAAACCATCCCTCAGGACAGTATAATTGTCTGACATTTCAGCAGTGCTGCTGCACAGGATGGCTTCCTTCTTGAAAGGGTGAGCCATATGGATTGGTGTAGGAGAACTAGCAGAACCAATGTTTTCACAGACAAGGACAAATTTAACTTTCTGCTATTTCCGTCTATACCAATCCACGCTCTGGAAATGAAATTTCCTTTTTAAGTTGATGTCAGGAGAAGTGTTTTGATACACTATTCTCTCTGAATCAACTGAATAGATGACCAGGCATTAAAATGTACTTCAGTTCAGTGCAGCTGGATTATGAAATTAGTCAGCACTGTTATTTTGGATTGTTTGGCCTCATCTGTATCTCTATACGGGCAACAACATTTGCTAAAATACGCGGTTTGAAAAGTTTATTTCCCCAATTCAAAAACCTACACATGTCAATTTAGAGAGGGTAGCGGTCACAGGATGGGACTTAAGTTGTATCTGCATATTTTGTATGTGAAAATAAGCCATCATCTTTTCAGTTGGATTTTTCTCTGGCTGCCAGATGGCAGAAGAGAGCTCTGTGGTCTAGACTGGTGTAGATGGGACATAGCAGAACATGAAGAGACCAGGCTTCGAGATTAGAAACTGGCATACTTACATTTCCCTTAGGAGTTGAAACTAGTTTTAAGTTTTGTATAACCTCAAATACTTCAACTAGTGAAGGGTTTCCTTTTTTTAAGATAAATCCAGCTTCTAGTGCTACTCATGGCAATTGCTGATTGCCAGCAAAATTCCAGTTTTGTAATTTTCAGTTATTCAGGATTAATCCAGATTTCTTCACTTGTAGCTTCTGTGCAGTTGGAGTCTATTCCCACTGAGTGGTTCAGTTCTCTGGGTTCACAAAGAGCTTTGTGAAAGAGACACAGTGCAGGGCCAGAGGATCCCTCCTTCAACTGACCCAGTGATGGCTGGGTAATCTCTGACCTGATAAGAATTTATCTTTCTCAGAATTGATGTGACTGTTGTTATAAAACACCCAAAATACGAATATCTCTCTCCTGGGTAGTCTCAACTTTAATGCAGAGACTGAGACATTTTCTAGCTTGTTACCAATATAACTTTGGTTGAGTTACTGTTAAAAATTTAGGTTCTTCAGCACTGTGCATTACTGGTATCTACAATTCTGTCTTTGACTGACATTTCATTATGCTTTGTTCAACAAAATGTTCTTGAGATAGCAAACTAAATGTAATTTCTATCACCAGCTTCTGCAAACCCTTACGAGTTCATCAGGCAGATATTCCTTCTTGTTCCTAACATATTCCTCACATGGGACAGTGTGAGGGATCTTGCTGTGCCTTTCCTTCTGATGGTCATTAAAAAGGTGCCACTCAGAGCCTTCTGTTCTTTTTGTCTGCTCCATGGAGTGATCGCTTGCAGGTGATGTGAAAGCCTGTTCCTCTGAGAGGATGTGAACCAGTGGGTGATAAACCCTACCATAATAAATCATCAGAATAGAATAAAGAAATAATTTGTAGGCATTCTTCCAGCCTGACTTGCAGAATTTAAAGGTTTTGATGTCTGTGCTACAGGTACCATGATTTTCTTGCAAGTAGAATTGCATAGCAATTTCCACCATTCTTACTAACATCAGTAGTTTCTTCCTAATTGAAACATCATAGAATAAAACTGACCTTTGGGAATGTACAATTTGTGCTTAACTGCTATTTAAACTTTGAATGCTATAGGTTTTTTTCAGTAAATACAGAGGAATAATTGGATACAATTACAGTATTATGCATAGTTGTCAAATCAAAACAAAAGTAGGTTCTCATAGAAACAGTGGTTTCTGACCATATGTTTGTTACATGTATATTCAATGTTTTGTCTTTTTAAGTTGCTTGTAGAACACTGAGGTAACAAAAAACTAATATTTTCACATGGTGAGCTGATGACTTTTGAACCACAACCTTGACAGGCACCCATGGGGACTTGCTGGGGTGATATTGCAGAAGGAGTGCGAGTGGAGGTTCCCAACACTGACTGCAGCCTACCTACCAAAGTCTTCTGGATAGCTGGAATTGTAAAATTAGCAGGTAAATGCGTTTTAGTTGAAATTAAAATAATCAAAAGAACTGTGTGAAGAGATCAAGTACTTTAGTCAGTGATCATCTGGTGGGAGTCATGCTGACACTGCTCAGGTGGCAGAGCTGTGTCTGTGGGTTATGTTGTAGTGCTGTCACTGTTCTACTCTGGCTGCTGTGATGCTTGAGAATGTCTGTCCTTGGTTTGATTTTTAATATTAATTTAATTTTAATACTACTAAAGAGTAGTGCAGAGCAGAAAGGAGACATGGTATAAGAGCTGTCAAGAAGCCTCATTATACGAATCACTTTTATTGGTAAAAAGTTAGAAATTCAAGGTTACAGATCTAAGATATGAAAAAGCAGATACTGCGCGTAATTAATTTTGTCCTCTTTTGTGCAGCTTCTAAAGGTGTATAGTTCAAGAATTTTAATCTTAATTAAATTGACTTACATGATAATACATGCACATTTATCAAAGTAATCAATTCTGTGCATTAATAGCATCCAGAAATGTGCCAAAAACCCCCAACTTGCTGTTAAAAATTACATTTAGAAAACCAATATAATGTAGGTGATGATTGGTCCAGAAATATTCATACGTATTTTATAATCTTGCTGCATTCTTGTATTTTTAAAAAATGCTTTCTTTCAGGCTACAATGCTCTGCTGAGATATGAAGGATTTGAAAATGATTCAAGTCTTGACTTCTGGTGCAACATTTGTGGGTCTGACATCCACCCAGTTGGTTGGTGTGCAACCAGTGGGAAGCCCTTAGTTCCTCCTCGAAGTATGTAAATATTAGTCTTACTGACTGCTTTCAAAGTCTCTTTATGAAACTAAATTTGCTCATGATCCAGATAGAAAATATTGTTTTACCACAACAACTTTTTCAACAGTTATGAATTAATAATTTTAACTTTTGACTGATGCTGTGTTTTTGGAGTAGCCCATCTGATGTGACTCAAAGTTTTTAAGATTGGGGTGGCAGAAGTTTGCTAATCAGTTATGGGAATATGCACTGATTTTATTTCTACTTTGTTATTAAGTTGTTTACCCTAGCCTATAAACTTAATCTTGGGTAGCTTTCATTCTCTAAAGAGGCTTTTTGTCATTATTGTCATCTAGGCCTTTTAATGGTCATCTGGGATTTCTTCTTTACATATTCCAGACTCTAATATTGTCTCTAAGGGGCACAATTAAAAATCAGTGGCTTATTTCTTCCCCTTCATTTGCAACAGCCATCCAACACAAATACACAAACTGGAAAGCTTTTCTAGTGAAACGACTTACTGGTGCCAAAACACTTCCTCCTGACTTTTCTCAGAAGGTAAGGCTGATCCAGTATCAATGATGTTCTGTAAAGAAAACTGCAGCACAGTGTCAAGAACTGAAATATTTTACAGTGGCACATTAGCTCCTCTTGCAGGGAAGGAGGTACAATAGTTTCTTCCTTAGATACAGTTTTCCTTGGAATCCCTTCTCCAGTTATGTCCACGCTTGTCAGTATGTGTTTGGTAAACTTTGCTCTAGAAAGAATAGCTATCTGTAAAAACTAGTTGGTCTGTTTTAATTTTAAAATACCCCATTTAAAAAATCCACAGAAAACCCAGAAGTGCTCTTGAGTTACCCTGTGATATGTAAGAAAAATGAAAACTGATTTTTCTAATCCAGAAATTACTTGTTTCCTGCACTATTTCAAGAAACTGAACAGAATATGTTAATATAGCATGTATGTAGAAGGAATGAAGATCATACTTTTAAATCTTAGTATTTTCTTCCTGCTCTGGACTAGCTTTCTTTCTGTCTTAATCATGTCTTCAGGTGTGGCAGCTGCTGTATAGTGTGCTAGAAGTTTACTTGCCAGTATTTTGAGATGATGGTGTATATAGCTCTTAATAGAAATATGAGACTTAATTAGTTGTTTTACACTGTGTGTAATGTTTTAATCAACCAAAAATGCCTTTCTGCAGTTGTTAATTTTTATTTTCCAATTGGCGCAGTTGGAAGCCAAATTAAATTGGCAAGATCTCAGTCCTTTGGAGAGGTGGTAATGAAAATGGCAAGTGACAGATGCTGATTTTTAAATACCGTCTGTTTTCACAGAGCAGATTAACATCTGTTTCCTTTCTTTTGTGTATTTTGAAGAAACACTTCTGTAAATGGCCAGCTTTAATTATGTAGAAGGTTTGTTTTCCATGCCTTTAAATTAAGCATTTTAATCCTGTTATTAAAGTGCTGTATTCTGTGTGGATGACCAAGAACAAAAAATCTTGAGGTTTTTCTTGTTAAAACTGTTTCTCAAGGTAACTTCACCCATTGTTAACAACTGAACAAACTTTCATTATGTCAATGGAAAATTCCTTGAACTTACATGAAAATTGTATCTCATCTTAAGAGATGACCTTGAAACAATTAAGGCATTGTAGGATCTGTTCTTATTTTTTCTGAACTATTTTGTTACAATTAAATAGAAGATAAGTAATTTGTGTCATTTCTCCGGGTTGATGAACAAGTACTTCAATTAAATGACAAGCTTTAAAAGACAGGAAATGGAAAACCAGGGGATATTCTCACAGAATGTATGTTTTGTGTTGTTTCAAGGTGTCTGAGTGTATGCAGTACCCATTCAAAACTTCCATGAGGGTAGAAGTGGTGGACAAGACGCACCTGTGCCGCACAAGGGTGGCGGTGGTGGACAGCGTCGTTGGGGGCCGCCTGAGATTGGTGTACGAAGAGAGCGAGGACAAAACTGATGACTTCTGGTGCCATATGTACAGCCCACTCATTCATCATATTGGCTGGTCTCGAAGTATAGGACACAGGTTCAAAAGATCTGGTAAGTTTGGTTTGGGTTAGGAGTGTTTTGTAGGCAGTGTTGGCTGGGAGGAGTCTGGCTTTGCAGTTCTGTTGCTTTATACAATTCAGCTACCTTGAATAATGGTACTTGAGAATATGTAACGTGGCCCAGGGATTTTACCAATTTTATGACACTCAGGAATTTCAGTTAAAATTATAATTAACATATTATACAGCAGTGGAAAAGCCAGAATAACCTTTAGGTTGATTTGTAGTGTTTAGAAGATTCAATGATAAACAGAGGCCAGCAAACTGTAGGTAGAAAAACCTTTAACTGCACAATTCAAGCACGGTAAACTTCACTTTTCATGCTGATACCTGGAATTACAGCCCTACTCCACAAACTCCTAGTTTCTTCACATCTAACTCCTTCTTTCTACAATACAACATGGACATGCATCCTAGTAGAAACAGAATTTCTATTTACTGGCAAGTTTAAAAGCTGTTCTAATATTTTATATTGCAGTATTTACATGATTTAGAGGGCATTAGGGAATAGGCTGGGAAAGTGCAGTGACAGTGTGATAGAAAGGCCTTTGCTACCTAAAATACAAAAGCAATTGTAATTTTGAATAGTTAAGGCTTCTAAACAAACAAAAAATCTGGGGTTTTTATTATTTCTCTGTTCCTTTGATCTGGTATCCCTTGTCAGAGACAGAATTTCTGTAAAGCATTCTGCAAAGCTTCCCTTCAGGGAAAGGCCTTCAGTTTTCCTAATGCTTCAACTTTCTCTGAAACCATTTATAAACAGATATAGAGACATTTTATTTATTTATTTATTTATTTAAAGTTATTATATGTAGTGATATAAAAATATATATAAATGTAATTTTCTGTTATAGCATAGTGCAAAGTAGTTTAAATCTGCCAATTTTTTGCAAAAGCTTCTATGTAATACTTTCATCAATATTGTGACATAATCAAATGTTCTTGTAAATACTGGATATTGGGTTTTTTCCTTAAATTGTTTGTTTTATAGAGGTAGCTCAGGTTGAAGTCAGCAAGGAAAATGGATGGATGGATTATAGTCTCCTGATTTTTGTGGTAGTGTTACTAATAAACTGTGGGCCTCCCAACACCAGTGATTGTGTGGTATTGGTTAACATATTCAGAAAAACATATTGTGTTCTGAACAATATTATAGTATTATTATTATTCCTTGTAGATATTACAAAGAAACAGGATGGACATTTTGATGCACCCCCACACTTATTTATGAAGGTGAGTTGAGTAGCTAGAACACTCTTTGCAGAATTGATTGAGGACCTTCAGTTCCTGTTGTGTGTAAACCAGACCTGAAACTCTATTTACATCCTGGCCCAGCACAAGTGTTCCTGCTTGTGTTATCCAATCTGACCTCCTTGATGTAAGCAGAGGTGGTAGGACAGATATTTCAGTCTGTTACTTTGGCAGTGTGGGGGTATGTTTTGTTCCAGGCTCATTAAATTCTATGTTTCTGCTGCTGTTCTGTGATTCTTTAGGTAAAAGAGGTTGATGCAGCTGGAGAGTGGTTTAAAGAAGGAATGAAATTGGAAGCTATAGACCCCCTAAACCTTTCAGCAATATGTGTGGCAACTATCAGAAAGGTAAGAAAGCAAATGTGCATTTTGGGGAGGGAAAGAGGAATCCTTTTCCCCTAATCTTTATTCAGGCTTGAAACAAGAAGCTCAAAACCAAAATTAGGAGAGTTCATTCGTGAATGGGGTATGTCTGTCAATTGTTTATATACAACCACTATGCAAATGTGCTCATGTAATTTGACTTTAAGCTCTGGAAATTCAGCCTTACCTTTAATTAGAATGTATAGGTGAGAGGAATTTGCAGGAAAATATTCTGCTAATTATATCAAGTGTTTTGCAACTGTTCAAAACCAGACCTCATCTTGCTGACTCACAGAAGTCTATGAGGATATTTTTAAGGCTGTCCTTCTTTCTTAGTTTGATTGAAAGGGAGCCAATTCATGTGAAATCTGCTTTAAAAGAGAACATGTGAAAAGCAGCTTAGCTGAATTGTTTAACCTTTTCAGTGAGGAGAATTGTTATGATTTTGAGTAATGAATATCCCTGCAAGCTGAAGAATAGACTGAGTTATTAAGCTTTAGAAGTAGAGCTGTTCTTCACAAGAAAAATAAACTAGGGATCAGAAAAAGGAAATGCTCATCTCCTCACTTTGTTGTTATCAAAGGTACATGTAACAGTTGTATTCACAGTCCTAGAGACAGACATGATTTGGAGGGTTTTTGTTATAATTGAATGTCCTTCTAAATGTGCTTCTGTTATTATTATATTATATTATTATTATCACAAGTGTGAATTGCTTTCACACTTGAAACATGGCATGCTTTCTTTCTAGCTTTCTCACCTAGCTGAAGGTATTTAATGTGAAATTTTGTTTCTCTTTACCAAGGTGTTAGCAGATGGCTATCTTATGATTGGGATTGATGGCTCAGAAGCAGCAGATGGCTCTGATTGGTTTTGTTACCATGCCACTTCCCCTTCTATTTTCCCTGTTGGTTTCTGTGAAATTAACATGATTGAACTAACTCCACCCAGAGGTACAGGTAGCATTCTGACACCTTTTATTGTTAATACTGCTCAGTGATACTGTATGTGCCATATGCTTTGTTTCTTAACTCAGCCTACGAAATTCAGGTCACTTCTTAGGACTTGAGTCTCAAGTCTGAAACAAATACAACAGCTTTACTTTCAAGTAATCTAAACCAGAGGTCACCAACTTTTCATTTAGAAGAAGTTAGACTGATTATTGGTTGAAATAATTTGCATTTGCTGTCAGAAATTGAGGATTCCACTAAGTCAGTGGAAAGTGTGGGAGTCACTAAAAGGGCTCTTCAGTAAGTGTCACTGGTTGGGAAGTCCTGCCTACCAAAACAATTAATGAGCACTGTAAAGAATCTCAGGCTAATTCACAACTACACCAGTCAAGTTTTGGAAGGCTATACACAAACTTGAGCTTTAGGACTGTGCACTAAATAAACCCCTTTGTGAGGAAAAGCTGTCTGTTCACAAACACATGTGCCTACAGAAGACATTGCCTCCCTTTTCCCATTTTTGCCTTGGTCTGGCACATTTAAGAGGACCATAACTGTATAACAGATGACAATGATTTTCTATGGCTTTTCCCCTCCATTCTCATTCTTGCAGACTTCTACTTGTATTAAATGAATTATTTTTCTAGGTAATAACTACAGTGTAATGTAATTCCATACCATTTTTGTTGTGGTGCAGTGGCAACTCTGTCACCCTAGAGTGTGTGGAAAGTGTAGTTATACAGATTGAGTTTTATTTTTCAGTCAGCTCATTTAGTGAATTTATTGCCTAGAAATTCATGGGCACCAGCATCTCTCAAAAATCTGAGGTGCAGAGACTCTTGCAATAGAAGTTTTTATGGGAAAGAATTCTTGTATATCAATACACATCAGTCAATTTAGAAATACATACATGAAACTGATGAGACAGAATAAGAGAAAACTTGCCTTTTCATTTCACTCTTGAAACACTACTTTCAGAATGTGGATTTTGTTGTTAGCACATTTATGATGCTTATAGTGTTTCTTGTATCATGGCAACCTAATTCTTTACCTCCATGTACATTTTCCCTTTTATTGCAGTTTTTCCTAAGTCCTGTGTCATCAGCAAGACGTGATTATAAATCACATGTGCAGTAATGTAAAAGTCATTTGGAAGAGGAATTACCAGCAGTAAAATACAGAGCATAATGTGCATTTGCAATTTTAATAGGACCAAAGTGATCAAAGCTCCTTAGCTCCAATGAGGAGGGTACTTTGCTTTCCAAATTATGGGCTGGAAAATGGACAGCTTCTTAATTCTGCCTGGTCTGACAAGTCCCACGTGCACATTTCCTCTGTGTGATGAACTTGAGTACAAATATATTGGTGTAGCAGAGGAATGTTACATTGAGAAGAAAAACATTAACATGCAGAACTGATACAATATTGCCATTATTAATTAACTCTCTAGCTCCATCTATTCGTGGACAGATTCCATAGCCACTGTAAGCACTCTTGTTCAAGTTGCATTTAGTATTGTGGATAACTTCAGTTGCTGTGAAATCATTGGACTTTGCAAAGCTTATTCCTCCCAAACTTCTTCATCCCATGCTGAAATCAGTAGAAGATGAAGATGTTTAGGCATTTTGAGGGATGGGATTGAATTTTGGGCTGTGGGTACTGAGAGTGGCAGCCCTCTGCCTCCACAGAGGTGAGTTGCAGACCTCTCCTGTAGCTCCCACACCATTCCTACTGCACTGCAGATTTTTGAGATGTCCCTCACTGCACGCTGATGCAGAGAAATCCTCCAGGCTATTGTTGCTCCAGATAGAGTTAGAAAATTATTAGCTTAAGCAGTTGTTAAAATTGCTCACAGGAAAAGATATTCCTGTGTTTTATGCATATTCAATAGCAGCTATATATCTTTTTGAGAGATTTTTCTTCCCTGTATAATAGCTTTAAAAAAATCCTCTAATTTTCTGTATTACATATTACTGCTATTTTTACCCTTATTAAACTTCTAAAATATCCATGTTTATTCTTACCATTCTGTTCCTGACAATTTAAGCATTTCGATAGTGGAGCTGTTTTCCCACAGGGAAGAAACTGGATGTTCTCAATTCCATGATCTGTTCTGGGTCATTTGTGTAGGGCATTTGTTGAGATAAGGATCTGCATGGACAAAAAACTTCCAGTTTAAGTGATTAATCTTAACTTAAATAATCTTTTACGTTACCCAGTGTTTCATTCTTCTTGTTAGTTGCAAATGGGCAATGTCTAGGTGTCTTTTTGTCCCTTAGATCAAAGCTCAGAGAGTGGAAGTTTCTGCTACTGATGTTTGACTTTTGGTGTTTTTTAGCTGTAACACACTCCCAATGTGCTATTTTTGCTGTTCTTCTTACACGTGAAGTTTGCAGTTGATGTATGAAAATGTTGTTTAAAATTCACAGGTTATGCAAAACTCCCTTTTAAATGGTTTGACTACCTCAGGGAAACTGACTCAATAGCTGCACCAGTAAAGCTCTTCAATAAGGTAATGAAATTATACGTGTTTGTACTGGAATTAGGATTTTGTTTACATTTTTGCTTAGTGCATGGGATGGACCCATTTGTTAAATACAGTTTTGAAAAGCTAAAACTTTTAGAGATAAGAACCATTTGAGTAAACAAAGGTTGATATCTCTGAAATGTTAAACAGATGCAGAGGTACAGGAAACTTCATCAATGATACTTGGTTTTGTTCTGTATTAAGTGGATTGAAATCCCTGTTTCAGCACTGTGCATAAACTGTCTTGATGAACATGTCTGTTTACTGATGTTTGCTTTCTTTGCTTCCCCAGGAAGTTCCAAACCATGGGTTTCACGTTGGCATGAAACTGGAGGCTGTAGATCTGATGGAGCCTCGCCTGGTGTGTGTGGCCACCGTGACGCGCATTATTCACCGGCTCCTGAGGATACACTTCGATGGCTGGGAAGATGAGTATGATCAGTGGGTGGACTGTGAGTCCCCAGATCTGTATCCTGTGGGATGGTGTCAGCTCACTGGATACCAGCTCCAGCCTCCAGCACCGCAGTGTGAGTCCAGCTTTGTCAATAATGAGCATTAATTCAATGTGGGCTCATTTTACTAACCTTTACAGTTAGGTCCCCAGGCATAAGAATAATAGAAAAAACTCTTGCTAATGCCTGACAGTTCTAATCTTTCCCACTTTGATTTCTAAAGTACTTCTGAGTGTTTTTTACTATTTTTCAATGCCAGAAGATGCTGATTTGATGCCGGGGAAAAGCCTCTTGTCAGTTCTTGAGGAGCTTGCTGAGAATTTATATTGCTTTAAGACTGCCAGTGTATCTGTTTCACCTCTTGAATTTGGTGAAACTCAGCCTGTGCAGAAACTGTATATACTTTATTACATCACAACTTGTCCTGTCAGATCAAGTGATGATAACTGTTGAAATGCATTTCAAAAACTGTTTTTAATAAGAGGGTAATGAGCAAGTTATTGTTAAGTAGTTTAATGCAAATTGATTTTTCACAGTAAATTTCTGTCTTTGTTCAGTCACTAAGGAAAAATTCTGTAACTGTGTAGCAGCTTTGACACATTGTAAAGTGGGGATGTTTTTTAAATAATTTTGAATTCTTCATTTTTGCAGCATCAAGAGATAGCCAGTCAAGTTCATCCAAACAGAAGAAAAAAGCTAAATCACAACAGTACAAAGGACATAAGAAAAGTGGGTGACAAAATAGTGTTTGCACTTTACCTGATGTTTTAAAGTTTGTGGTCTCTACCTAAGTCTGTTTTCTGTTTGGAAATGTTTGTGTCTAAACAGGTGTTATGCTTAAAGGTGCAGTATGCCACAAAAATAACTTTTTCATTAAGAAAAACAATTTTTTATAACTCGTGATAGGGTAGATGTTGCTAATAATAATAATAATCTATTAATTGCAGATGGACAATGGTTAAAATATTTTTGTGTACTATATTGGTAGTTGTACTGCCTTGTACAAAATACTCAGGTATCAACACACTTTTCCCTCTGCTCTCTGTAACACAGATGAAGGAATAAGAGCCAAGTCACTGGGATCAGAAAGAATGAGGTGTAGAAAATTTAAATTATCATCCAATTGGCTTCTCTTTGAAACAAAAAAGATACTTATTTGCCAGTTTTTTTGGTTTAGGCATCTATGTAAATTAAGCTTTTGTATTATTACTTTCAGAAGCAAACACGTTGTATGTGGCTGTTCTTGTCACAGTAAAACACAGTAATGACATTTTTAAGAATCTGCAGTGTTCAGGTACTTTCCACAGTAATTGGTTCCCTTGGAATCAAGCTGTCAAAATATAAAATTAGCTTGCTTAATTTAGTCCTGTTTCCAGAGTGTTTTGTTGTTGTATCCAACTAATGTGAGGAATTAAAACCTTGTCTTCCTGGTGAGTTTGTGAATGGATCTATTAAGGCCAATTGGAACCTTCTTCCCCAGTCATTGAGAATACAACCTATGCTGTGTTGATCTTTGGGGTTGGAAAGAAGTTGGCTGGTGAGTGCCACAGATAAAACAGGTGTCTCAGAAGTTCTTAGAACTTCCAGTTCAGTGCCTCAAACATTGCACTGGTTTTCCTTTTTGATGTTAGAGGAAAGAAACAGTAAAATCCAGATTCTCTTCAGAATTTTGCAGCAGTATTTTTTAAATAGAATTCAGGTACTGGAAAACTCCTGATTTGAGAGTATCCAGGGAAAGCTGTGAGTACTGTTGCTTTAAGCCAGGGAAATATGGCTCTATGGTTAATAACCTTTGTGTAAGACCTGGTTTTGGATAATTCTGCACTGTCTGAGCAGATTCTGTTTAGCAAGCTGTTCTAGACCATCATACTTCTTACCTTCTCCCTTTCCTAGTACCTCTGCTCCCTGTCTTACAGTAAGTGTGACCCAAACCTGGAAAATTAATTTATCTTACTTAGTGCCATAGGAAGCTTTAGTCTATCTTCAGAAAGTTTAGTCTAGGGAAGCTTGTTCTTCACTTCTCACTAACCTAAGGTAAATGTTGCCTGTAGAAGCAAAGAAAACTTCTGATTGTGTTCTGGACTGTTTGCTCAATACTAAAAAATCCTCCTAATCACCAGAAGATGAGAGAACCATGTCATGAACAGTTAGAGCCAGCTGCCTCCTGTATGGGTTTTTTTCTAAGTAGGTTATGGCAAGGAAAGTGCTGAATCACAGGAAATAACACTGAAAATGTCTTCTGAAACTTTTTCTTGTTCAGCACTTGTAAATAAAATAAAAAGTTCTTTGTAAAGGATTTCAGTCACAAAACCATATAACGCAGCCATGATGTTTTTATGGTACCATGTAAAGTCACCACAGATGATTAACAAAATACTGTGTCTTAAATTAGGTTAGTTTTAGCAGGGCAGGGTTATTTCCACACATTTTTCTCATGTGCTCACAACACAGCCCAGGATGTCATGGATGTCATGGAGTCATTATGCTGTGTGTAGCTGTGCAGATTTCTGCTGCAGTGTCCCCTCCTTTCTGGGGGTACCAGGAGTGCACATGTTCACTGGGAAGCAGAACTGATTGCATCATAAACACTTTGGGAATGCTTTTGGGGGTACTTGAGAATCTCCCCCAGTTCACTTTCTGATAGTGTTTGTTTCAATGAGTATGGTTTTGTGCTGGGTGCCTGCTGCTCAGAATGCTGTGCAAGTGACTTCTTGAAAGGTAACATGCCAGCATGCTGGGACAATTAATTAATAATGAAGGGTGCAATATTTGCTGGTATTGTCTGCTTCCTCTTGGGTGTGTATATGAGAATAAGGTTACTGAAATTATAATCTGATTATAATTATAATCTCTATATTTTCAAGGTTGGGGTTCTGTAGGCACCATTGTGTCTCATTAATCTCTCTATAAGGCTATCCTCAAGTTGGCTTATAAGAAGAATATTTAAGCAGGGTGGTATCTTCAGAATATACATAATCAGTTACCTTTTCAGGGCTGGGCTTTTGTTTGTTTGTCTGACAGTGCTGGTAGGACTGAAGCATCAGCAGCCACAGTTTTGATGTAGCTGAAAGCATTGATTTGTGTTACAGATGTTGTACCCTCAATACCACAGAGAACATGCCTTGAGCACAGAATGGGAGCATCTTAGTGATAAAGGAGAAGCATGGTAATTTGTATGGGAAATGTTTTAATAACACTTTATCAGTAATGCAGTGTTTAATAATTTGAGGGCATTTTAGAAGTTTTTTTGCTACGCATGAAAATAGTTATTTGTGGTTATAGGAAAATGGGAAATACCATTCCAAGGGAATTAAGAGTGTGTATTTTTAGAGGTGATAAACTTTGTCTGGAGAGGATTATTTCCCCAGAAGCATCCTTCTGTCTCTTGGGTACATACCCTGAAACAACTGCAGCCTGAAACTGAGCCAAGATATCTTGGGTGTCCAGGCAGAGGAATGTGTGTGACTGTGCAGTGTAGCTGCAGCAGAAGTAATTCACAGCATTTGTATTTCATTGATAAGGCAGGAAATAAGTGGGTCATGGTATTAAGCAGTGCCCTTGAAGTCCTACCCATAGCCTGTAGAATTCAGGGACTACAGTGTGGCTGTGGAGAGCAATATTCCCAGTAATAACTAAATGGTGCCATTGTACAAGCCCTGGTTTTTGAGAATGGCTGAGTATCAATCGGAGCCATTTCTCAATGAACAGTCAGCGTTGCCTGATGCAGTTTAAATTGAGCATTTATTTTAGTTTTGACTTGTTTAGAGAGGAAGATACCTGTTGGAAAGAAACCTGTCCATTTGTCCAGCCCACCCATGGCAGGTGAGGTGTGGAGGAGCTTCTCTGGGGATGATGAGTTGAGTCCTCCTCCATACCGAGCCCTTCAGCACAGACAGCCCCCGAGGCCTTCCAGCCTCCCAGGGACAGCCAGGAGTCCAGTCCCAGCCTCCAAACAGGTAACTGGTCACAGCAGTGTTTCACTGCAGAGTGGGAGGCTTTGGTCCAGGGTGTCATGTGCTGACTCATCCAATCTTTCCTTCTTCCCTTTTTTTTCCTTTGAATTTTAGTTGGTTTAATTTTTTCTGCTAGAGAGTGTTTAATTCTTGCTGGTGCACCGTGTCGCTGAATTAATCATAGCAGGGGGTTGCAGCTGGTTTAGAATTTCAGAGGAAGAAAGTTGTGGCGTGGGTTACTGAGAATCCCAGAGAGGCTCTGCAGATTGTTAAGAAACAAAAAATGCACCCTGTAAAACTGAATGGTAATGTGAATCTGGGAATATTGGATGTAAGTAGGTCATTACTGTGTATTATCCTTTGCAGAGAAAATAACTATATGCTGTAAATGAAGACTTCTGTCTTTGTATCAGAAAAAGGCAGTTATCTGGGAAAATATCTTTGGAATATGTTATTTGAAATTTTGTGGATTACTAAGAAAATATATTTGAAGCAGTGTAATTGTGCATCTGTATGAGTGAGCAGAGAACTCTTCAAAATTAATTGGTAATACTGAAGTTGATTAAAATTTTGAACTTCGTTAAGTATAGTTTACATAATGTAATCGATCTTCAATTACACAAATTCACTTCAAGGGTCTGGTAGTTTTTCTCTTCCCTTTTCCTGGTGTCTCTGGCAGTGTAATGCAGCAAATTATTGCTAATAAATATATTGTAGCAATAGGAGCTGTCTGACAGACTGGATGATGTTCTCCCTGCAGGACAGTTGCCAGGTTGATAGATTTAGCTTCAGATTTGCTTGGTTACTCCCTTAAGCTTGCCTTAGTCTGCACAGGCTGCCCTGTCAGCACTCTCCACTGACTCTGGAATGCATCCAGAACAGTTTCTCTTGTCCATGTGTTATCCATTACCAGACTGGGAAAAAAGGAACCCAAATGCCACCTTTAGACCCTGAGGAAAACCTGTACTCTCTTCTACACCCCTCTCAACACTTCTGAAGGAACCCTTTAGCATCACTTCGTGTTCCTACTGGTGTGTACATGCCATGCTTAACAGAGCCTTTGGTGCCAAAGAGAAGCCTTGCTTATGGGAGAGTGTTCTGGAGCATCTATTTCTGCCCAGTTGTTCTTTTATGCCAAATCTATATCTGCATTGCATTTCTGTATTGCAAAGACATACACAGTCTGAATTTCTGTATCAGTAGATCTCACAGTTCCTATTAAACACCTATGTTCCTTGATTTCTGATACTCAGTGATCAATTGAGGGGATGATTGTGATTAATTGAGGGGAACTTTTCAACACTGAGTTTTGGTAAGGCTGGGCAAAATTAATTTTGTTTGTGGTGTGGCTAGCCTTGTCATTGTCCAAGGAGATATATATATATTGATAAATAAATAGATAGATATATCTTGAAACCAGCAAGACCATACCTTTTCAGTCTCTTGGAAGGAGGCATCACCTTGATACCATCAAATCAATTTAGAGCACATTTGAGATTGGCCAGAACTCATTAATTATGTGCCTATTCCTCAGCATCACTCATTGCCTGATATTGCAGTAGCTGTAGGACATATTCAGGCACAGTTCAGGGGATGTTTGCCTGGCTTTGAATGGAGTCAGTGGAAGATTAGTAACAAAACAGCATCTGTTCTGAAACTTCTTGTCCATGGGAGATCTCAGTAAGGGTTCAAGCCCAATTCTTTCCCCTTTTGTATCATCATGAGCACAGGAGAAAGGTTCTGCTCTTCACCTTGGTTTGTATGAAGTGGTTTTGCTCTCTAGCAAATTCCCAGTTCTGCTTTAGGGTGCGTGAGTACATCTGAAGTGATCTCTCGAGCACTGAAATTCATCTGTTGGACTGCTTCATTTTTGAAAATGAACATACAGCCAGTCTTGCAGAAGAAGAGACTGTTCCCAGAGATTCACCCAACTGTGGAGCATATTGCTCTATTTGTATTGGTTTGGGAGATTTCAATGTCATGGCATCAGAGAGTGTGTCTCTGTGTCCTGGCAAACCACTGAGACAATGTAAAAAGGAAGTACCTCACCCAATCTGCATTCCTTTTCTTTCAATTGGATGACTTCAATTAGTTTTCCTTTTGCTTCTTTCAAGCAATTTGGTGTGTAGCTGTAACTAAGCTTTTCTAATGGAGGATTGTAGTTAACAGCTGTATAATAGGAACAAATGAAGTAAGATATCATTAAATATCTAAATGTTAGGACTTTGGTTCAAATGAGCCAGAGGCAATAGAAATCATGGCAATTACTGTTACTCCTGTACCTGCAGAAGTTTCCTGCTCAGGGGAGAGAAAGGAAACAACATGCACGGTGGGTTGGTTTGTATCCCTGACCTCTGTGTAGCCTTTGCTTAAGGCATTGCAGCATAGCCAAGTAGCCAGTTGTGTTTCTTATCATTTAGACAGCTCTTTGTTGCCCCCCAGAGATCAGGAATCTTGGTCAGAGTTGGGCATGATTCAGGGAAAAGTATTTGGGAGAAAAAAAATAAGGGATGGTGGGTTCTGTAGGTGGGAGGAGGAATCTATTCAAGAAAGATGAGGAGAGCTTGCATTATGCTGCAGCAACTTTTGACATCTTCTACTGCCTTAATTTTCAAATTTTATTTTTATTTAGCTCAACAGCTTGTTTCAACATAGACTATTTATAAAAGAATAATCAAACAGCTTATAAATTACTGCAGGGCTGTCAGTAGCAGCAGGTTCTGGGTTGGGGTGTTTTCCTTTCACTGCATATTTCTGCATTTCAAGACACATTGACAAGGTGTATAAACTATATATTGAATAATTATAAACTTTGATACTTTTCTCATTCATTTGGTCATAGAGAATAATTCATTTTTGTACAATCAACCCTTTAATGTGGCTACTGCACCTTTAATGAATGTTTACATGTTTTGTTTTCAGTGTTCTTTTCATTGCGCTCATATTTTAATAATCATCTCTATTTGTTAGTGAAACTGGAAAAGTAATTGTGACATTGCTATTCATAATATCTTTCTCATAATCTCATTTCTATTTTAATTTTGACAAAAGAAGGGAAGATTGAAAGTACAAAAAAATTTTGCTTTAATGAAACTTACCTTCTGGAATCTTAAAATTTTATTGATGGATTGAGACATTTTTGTTAATATGTATTGTTGTCCCACATACTGTTTTCAATAACTGGGCTAAGTAATTTGAATTGTAGGTTAACTGTTGGCCATTTCCAATCTCATTTTTGCTTGCATAAGGACTAAATAGGAAGCACAGTGGTTTAAAAGTTAAAGTGGTTTAAAATACTCAGTTCTTGAGAAATCTGGTAGAGAATATATTATTGTAAGTAATTTGAAATCTGTTAATATTAGAGCATAATTTATGGTTGCATCTGCACTCACAAAGTGTCTGTTCTCTGTGGGATCCTGAGCATTAAAGCATCGCTAAAATGTGGCATGTAAGAAAACGGGGAATCTGGGGTGCTCCCAATATCAATAATACTAAGTAAATTTAAGTCATATAGATGCTTAATGTGAATTTTTGATTTGTAGTGACTTCGTTACAGCTGAAGGAGGAGTTGCTGGATGGAGAGGAGTACAGCTTCCTGCAGGGAACGTCTGACCAGGAAAGCAACGGCTCCGCCAGCTACTACATCAAACAGGAACCCTGAGGCAGCTCCCAGGAGTGAGGGGCACAGCGCTGGTGACAGGAAAAGAACCTTGCACCAAGACTGACTGATTCTGTTCCCACTTGGATGGTGCAGTTCAGGTGACTGTGCCTGGGGTGCTTTGCTAAACGTAGCTGAATTAGACTCAGTTCAGAATTTTTTGGAAGGGCGGGGAAACTATTTTAGTGAAAAAGATTTTTCAATTTATTAAAAACAAAAACAAAGGACACTTTTGTGTTGTATTTGAAGCTTTTGAAAGAATTTTGTAATATTTTCAAGTTCAGATTTATTGTGCATTGTTAACAAGAACTGAAATTCTAATTTTTTTGTAAGATTAAAGTTTATTTAGCATGATTGTGGGAAGAAGTTGGAGGAAGATATAGTTGCAAATACAAATGAACTGTCATAACAAATGAACCTTTTTGGTACAAGTTGGGAGACTGTTAGCCTCTTGTGAACTGCACTGGTCACGCCTCTGTTTTTTTAATTGTGAAAATAAGGCTATAAAGCCCTGGTTTAAAGGCATAAATTATATACGGAAGACAGTCCTGTAAAGCTCTACTCAGTGAGTAGCCCCAAGTGCAACGGAGCCATCGCCTGAGGAAGATTTTACCTTTTCAAGGTGTTTTTATTTCGTTTAAAATACCCTTTTTTATATAAGGTTTTTGGTTTTTTAGCATTCTTTAGGGTCTGATTCAGTGCCCATTAATATCAGTAGCCTTGTCTCCGCCGACCGCAGTGGGCATTGGATTGGATCTATAAAGCTCTTGTCTGTATATGAATGTCTGTAGTCTTGGAATGCTTCAGCAAATGTTTACAGAGCCCTATGCCAAACTGGAACTTCAGAAAATTCTGTAATTGGAAGATTAGTTGTAGCTCTGAATTTTGACTGAAGAAGCAGCTTAGATGGACAGTCACTAAGGATTCCCTTGGTAGTGGGAAGGAACTTGTGAGTATTCTTGTGATTTTTTTTTTCCCATTCAGAAAGCCCTAAATGTTTCTTTACTATCTTAAATATTTATCTGTGATCATTCAGATGATGTGCCACGTGGTTTCAGGTGACCTGAAAGGAGCCCTGCATTGTGGATTAAAAATTAGTTCAGTCCTGCATAGCCTGCAATATTCATGTCTTGCTGCAATAGTGTAACACAGGAGTTGAGAGCAGTATCAAAATCACATGGTTTTAGTCTATAATTCATAAACTGGATTTGCCTGTTGCCTGGAATTCTTGTCTTGTGTCAAGCATCCCATTGGCCCCAACTGGTCAACTTCCAGGTTTTTGCAAGGGAAAAATCGCATAAAAGGGTGAAAATGATGACCATTTAAACACAAAGTATTTTTGCAGGATCTCTTAATAATTTGGATTTTATCTTTCCATATTTTTAACTTTTGTACATTTTTGTAAATGGAGTTGATGAGTGAGGTGGTTGATCAGCCCTGCGGAGCTGTGACTGGAAGAATGTGCATCAAGAGCTTTAGCTTTTACCAGTAAGGTTCATTAACTAAACTCTCAGGAATTATAAGTTCTGTAAGTGCTTCTGGGTCTTCACAGGTCCCCTTCAGAGCAGTACAGATATCATCTGACTCTTGACCAGAAATTAAGGCTTAAAAAAAAATTGATCAAAAATTATTAACATCTGTATCCTACAGCCTAGGAAATGTTTTAAGGATATCGACCCACAGAGCCCTGGGATACCATTTTTTGTATATTGTTGTTTGAGCTTAAAAAAAAATGTGCATAGAAAGTTGAAAACCAGCAATTTGATTCTTTTCTAACGTATTGCTCCAACTTTGGGTACATAGTATTGGTGATATACACAGGTTTACCTCATTCTATGCAAGAGGGGTTAATTATGTAAAGTTTTGTATTTACTACAGGAGGTAAAACGTGCTGTATAGTGTAGGAATTTCTGGAATTCTTTCTTCCCTTACTGGTAAAATTTCTTAAATTATGACCTGTTTTTAACAACAGCTTCTTCTATTGACAGAATCTGTTAATCTGATCACAAGAATCTATAACTTCTGGTGGTAAAGACATTTTAGCTCCCTAAAATAGCCATAAAAAGGACTTTGTTGGACCTGCTAGACTTCAAATAGCTTATCTCAGATTCTGACCCACCCATGATGTTTATTTTGATGTTCAGCCTAGATTGGAGAACTAGGATTAGAGACCATTGTAGTGACAGTTTGAGCCTTGCTTGTTTTCCTGTGTTCTCAATTTAATCTGCTGTAAAATCCAGCTCTGCAAGCATTGATTTCATTTGGTAAGTATAGCACTATTGATTTTTTTTCTTTTTTTTTAATGCAACAACTTGCAGGTTGTCCCATCAGCTGGAACAAGGTTCTCACAGTCTTGCTTTCTTCTCTCATCAACAGCTTCTGACTTCAGTAGAAAAACTGTTGCATTAATTAGCGTGTCATAATGTAGAGAGTTGGGCTAGTTAATGAATGAGGTGCATTGCCCCGGCTCATCCCTGATTTCAGAGTCGATCTTCAAATGTCAAGAGGGAAAATTAGTCCTTAACACACTTCCTGTGTTGGGAGAAATACAAGAATCTGTTCTAAAGTCTGTCAGTCTTTATAATATTCTGTTCTTCATCAAACACTAAAGTCTGTGAGGTGATGTATGTTCTCAGGTACCCGTGTGACTTCAGCAGTTGGTGAAACCCTTTTGTGTCTCTGGGTTCATCACATGCCTCAGTTGTGTGATTGTCAAGTACTTTGAGTCTGTGCTAAGCAAACCACGGAAGGAGCTGCTGGAAGTCACTGGCTGAGGAGCAGCTCAGGGAAAACCTGAGCAAGGTGCTACCAGGGATGTGATTCCCAGAGAACCTGAGGGGTGTCCCTGTGGCAGCTCTCTGGCCTTGCAAAGCATTCCCGTGGCTCTGGGATGTTTCTCATGGCTTTCAAGCTGTGGTACCTGCCTGAGGGAGCAGCAAATGTTGGACACCTAGAACCTCCAGTGGGGTCGGACTAATTCTGGCATTTGGCACAGCAGGTTTTTCTGGCCATGAGGCAGCCCGAGCCCTGTCCCTGACTTGGCTGCTGTCCTTGTTCCAGATCTCTCTGCTGATCTTTGATTATTACATTCTTTTCAGTAGAACTCTCTAACCTGTTCCTTGCTGCATCTGAGGAAAGCTACAGCAGTTACTGATTCCTTGTTCTACAGATACTAACACGGGTTTCAGTGTTTGTTTTGAGTTTTTTATTGTTGTTTTCTGTGATGTGAATACCCTCCCTTGATCTTTGTACAATGGTGCTAATACATTTGGTAACAATCCTTTATTGGGAAGGGATTTTAAAAAACTGTGATTTCAGCTGAATTTTTCTTCCTTTTGATTTTTTTTCATATTTAAAATGAAAAGCCACAGCCATTTATACAAAAAAGGCATCAGCTTTGGCCCCTGGGAAAATGTTGGGGCAGGAATCAAGAATAAACAAATGGGTTTTTACACCATTTCTGTATGTATTTGATATATAGATCAATATCTGTACAAATTTAATCTTTTCTTTTCTTGGTAATTTGTGTGGTCAGTGAGGGAGTATTTAAAGCTTTCTCATGCAATGTACATAACTCAGTGAAAAAATGCTTTTGGAAAAATTAATGTTACTTTCATTTTTACAAGACTGCAGATTTTCAGCATGGATGTGAAAAGCATTAAAATCATAACTTTGTGTACAAGATGAAAATAATTCACTAAATTTGCCTTTTTTACACAAAATAAAAATGATAAAAAGTCTTTTTCTGAATGGTAATTTTTTTTTTTTTGCTTAAAACACTCTTAACCTTATTAAAAATACCCCCAATCTGTAAGAACATGAGTATTTTAAGTATGTTGGTGTGATGACAAATCGTGTGGGGCCCTGAGCACAAGGTAAGGGGTTGGATAGGAGGTGAATTCAATAAGCATCTCAGAGAGCAAGCTTTGCACTCAGTTTCATTTCATTTAGTATTAATATATGTGTAAGGAGGAAAATTTTGTGGTATCCCTTTTTTCCCTGGCTGTGTTGGAAATAGCTCCAGCCTCCCTTCAGCTCTCCCTCTGCAAATTTGCTGCTGCTTGAGTCCAACAGCTGTGCCAGGGTCACAAGTCAGTGGCTCCTGAATGATTAAAATGACTTTTATGAGTGTTTGAACAGGGGTCTGTTCTAAGTGAATGCACCACAAGGAATTAGTTCACACCCATTTATTTGACAGTCACTTTCAGCACTAAGATAACTGTGGTTGTTCCCAGGGCAGCAGCTGGAATGAGATGAGGTGTTGGAAGGCACAAATCCCTGTGAGAACCCATCACTCATAGATCCAGTCATGTGCACAGGGCTTGAAGTCGATGAGCTCTGCGGGTTTGAACCACAGGTTGATCTCCTTCTGTGCACTCTCCACAGAGTCGCTGCCATGGATGATGTTCCTGTAGAAGGAGACAAACATTGATCCCTATAAAAATACGCCTCCAGCAGCCTTGTTCAGTTTGCAAAAACGTGGATGAAGCATCTAGAGTAGGAAGACTAATTGCTGTTATTTCAGGTAGAGTGTTTCAACACCCCCACCCCTCCAAGAGCTAATTATGCCTATCAGGGTCACTCTAGAGCTACTGTTCTGCACCAGCCCCTGCCTGAGCTTACATGCTGCTTTGGGGAGGAGCTGGACTGCAAACAAAGTCAGCTTTGTATCACTGTCCTAAGCAGCAGCTATGCACTGTGACCTGCAAATGAAACACCATCAGACTAAGGTCTCGACCAACAATTTTGGCTTTCCAGAATAAAAGACTGCCAACAGTTTTTGTGTTGGCAGGTAAACAGTGAGTAGGAGTTGAGATTTTAATATCAATTAACAGACTGAGTACAAACCTTCCCACTTGAATGCAGAAATCACCACGGATGGTGCCAGGCTTGGAGTCTGCAGGGTTGGTTTCCCCCAGCATTACTCTCCCAGTTTTAACCACATTGAGTCCTTCCCATACCTTAAGATAAAAAAACATAAAAATTCTGTTAAGCCATGCTTATGCAAAATACTGACAATTCAGCTTTGCTCTAGCATACTTTGCAAAGAAACAAAGGCTCTACCATTAAAGGCATTAACCTTGCCGAATTATCTCTTGGATTTGTAAAGGTGACAAGGGAAAAAAACATGAACTGGAAGTAATTGTAAAAAGGACTATCAACATTGTTACTGCAGTGAAGGAGATACTTTACCAAGCCTCAGTTAATGTAGAAAGCCAACTCCCAACCCTTTGTGTTGTGGTGGAACAGGGACACCCTGCTGAGTGTTCTCTCCTAGTTCATTATCACACCAGGAGATGCTACTAGAGCAAGTACCTTGTTTTGGGGGACTGTAAAAATGAATGACACACAAGTTGGGTTTTTGTGTCAGAGAGCCTGACCTTTTTTTGCCCAAAACAGATTTTTTGGTGCAGAAGATTTGCTTTCAGGAATTTTGCTTTATACATTATATATTAGGCATTTTAATACCTATTTTATATGTGCATTTTTCTTATTACATAGTAACTTCACTGTCTTAATTTTTTCTTTTGCCACTATCAGAACAAGGTAGTTTGAAAAAATGTTTCTGCAGCACTATCTCTATATATTCTTAATAATTTATACAGCAAGAAAAATATATTCGAGAAAGTAAGCTTAAACTAAAATGAAATCACTTACCATGGCCACAACAGGTCCAGAGTTCATGTATTTAACCAAACCAGGGAAGAAGGGGCGGTCTTTCAGGTCAATGTAATGTTGTTTGAGAAGGTCTTCAGAGGCCTTTAAAAGGACAGATGTAACTTTAAATATCATTTTCTGAATGTCATTGAACAAAAAGTTTTACAGGTGTAAGACTATGGCGTTAGCGATTAGATTCACAATTAATGTTAGCAAAAATGCTGCAGTGCTATTGTGTGTATCAGTGGGAGCTCCTGCTGTAATGTTAAAGCAGTTCTTTGTGCTGGGAATTGTCAATATGATTTCTTTGCACAGCAGTGAGCCTCTGCGATAAGCAGAGTGCGGGGAATATGGGACCTCGGCCAACACAACCTTTCAGCCCAGGCCATTCCAGCTCTCAATCGGGCTGCATTAAACCTCTGAAGCAAAATTCGCTGGTTTTGGAAAGGGTGGGAGCCGCGTGCCGGGCAGGAAGAAGGGCCTGACGCGCTCCAGCACATCCGCCATCTGATCGCAGCTCTAGCGCGGGAGGAGCCGCAGGGGAGATTCTCGCTGTGGGCGCGGTGAGCCCTTCTCGGCCAGGGCAAGGATTGGGGGGCAAGGCGCGGGCACTCACGTGTACGAACTTCATGGCCACGAGCCGGAACCCTTTCTGCTCGAAGCGCTTGATGATCTCCCCGACCAGCCCGCGCTGCACGCCGTCGGGCTTGATGGCGATGAAGGTGCGCTCTCCGTTCCCCGCCATGGCGCTGCGGGCGGGAGCGCGGCGTGAGGGGACGCGCGGCCTCAAGGTCGGCGACGGCCATGGCGGTACCGCCCTGCCACGCGGCACGGCCACGGAACGTCCCCCCGGCCGCACCGAGCCCGGCGCGGCCCCGCCGAACCCCGCCGCGCCCCTCCGCCCGCACCCCCCATGCCCCCGGGGCGCGGGGCCCGACCCGGCCCGGCCTCACCTATCCGGAGCTGCCGCCGCCGCTACCCTCCGCACCGCTGCCGCCGGAGAAAGAGGCGCAGGAGGAGGCGTGCACGCCGCGGATCCCCCGCCCCGCGCGGAGGAGGAGCCGCCGAGCCGGCGGCGCTTCGGGGGCGGGATCGCCAGCACCCAGCGGAACCGGGCCGGGCTGAGGTGAGGTGGGACCGGACCGGAGAGCGGCCGCGTCCGGGCCCGGGGGCCGAGGAGGCGGCTCTTGGCCGGGCCTGGCCGCACCTGTCGCCTCCGGGGTTATTTACAGACACAGCAACTGCGGCTTAAGCCTTTAAGGCACTGAAATGACGGCGGATGTTTGACGCAACTAAATATTTTTTTACTGATTTTTTGCGGGTTGGCTGCTTTCAGGTATCCCCGCGGCCTGAGGGTTGGTCCTGCCAACCAGGCTGCACTGCACAGCACGGCTACAGCGCTTCGAAAGCTTATTTATCACAGAAAAGTGATGTGGAACCCGTAACGCAGGTTACGGGATCCACAATCAAATTATTGATAATTTTATTGGGAAGATGAAGCCGCCAAGTGTCAAAACCTCACAGTCCCTGAACCCGTGCCACAGCATGAAGCAGGGGGAGTGTGTTGTTACTTTTTATGATATTTACTACTTGGCCCTTTCCTAGATGATAGAGCACCTTTGCCTGAGCAAGTTGTAATCGTGCACCGTCACTGCAGCTGGGATACCAATGAAATTACCTCTGCAGTCCTTGCACTGTCAGCTGGTGTCTTCACAGGGTCAGTCAGTGGCCTCACACTGGACCTGCTCAGGCACCTCAGCCATGCAGGATTGCTGGCCTCCTCTTCCCAGTCACATCACGTTAGAAACACTAATCAGCAGCTTCCTGACAGCCCAAACACCTCCAGATAAACCATAATTCTCTATTTTGTAGAATTGAGACGTCTCAAGTAACCTTTCAAGCAAAAGATTAAACTGGAGACCGCTCATCTCATGCTCAAGTTTGTCACATATTCCCTTTCCTCCAACTTCTTTTAACCTAATGATAATTTATCTTCTATAACACTGAATATTTTCAGAAGAGAAAGGCTTACATCTACAGCTTCATAGTTAGAGAATATGTTCCACCTCCTTACAGTCATTAATTAAATATAAGACAAAATATTTAAAATTTCATTTTATTTCACTTAAGAAACAGCAAATATTGTTTTATTTTGTGCCATCTCTTTTTAGGCCCTCGATATCACCATAAGGTATCATAAGCCTTCAACATTCACTGCATAGTTCAGTATTCAGATACAAGAACTCACCTGTGGAGGGAAAAAAATCACTGGGTTTGAGCAACTGATTCCATGAAACTCTTGCTCTTAGTGAATAAAATGTTGCAGGGAAATAAACACATAATATCAATCCCAACTTCCTCATCCAGTACAACTTTTCCTGTTGAAACTGAAACACCTTCTGCATTATTATGACTCTTTACATCATTAAATAAGTACAAAACGACAGTGATAAAGTTGCTTCTAAAACAACTTATCCAAGGACAATTTGCTTTGTAGTTCCAGCTACTGAGGAAACTACACTGATGAGTACAGCTAAATAACCAGCTGTTCAGATGTCAAAGCAAACACCACTTACTGCTCTGTGCAATGTCAGAGAGCTGCTGCACTGAAGTGGCTAAAGGTAGAATCTCCCTCATCCATCCTCACATTAATCTTCTTTTCACATAAAAGGACATTTCATCAAGCCAGGCTGGTTAATCGGTCCTTAAAATACTACATAAATCCCACGTGGAAGGAAAAAAGAGCAAGCTGGAACAGTGTCAGTGTGGAAGTCAGTTGTCATTTAAGCTCTTTATGGGCACAGCATGTTCTGGGGAGAGAAATGGGCTTTTTTCTGCAGCTGTTTTAGGAATGGGGAAACACTTGACTTAATATTAAGTAAATCCTCAACATTTGGGCATATTATCAATGCCATTTCAGGAATGGGGAAACATTTAATATTAAGTAAATCCTCAACATTTGGGCATATTATCAATGCATTTACACACCATCAGTTGTCCTCTAATGTTTTAGCAAAGTTAACCTCTGACTCTGAGCCATTTGCATATTTATTTACCAAATAAATTTTTACCCATTTTTTAATATTTACCAAAATACCCTCTATGACTATAAAATGCTTCAGAAAAATATATGTTATCTATTCTGTCTTTTCATCTCATATCTCTCAATCCCAGAAGCAGCTTTTAAAATGTGCAATTCTATCTATAACTTGACAACTTTTAAATCAAAGGAGCAGCAAGCACTGGCTCTAACATCCACAACAGAGCAATTTCACTGTTTTCTGAGGTTTCTACCAGGGAATTCTTTGGAATAGCTAGAGGCTGGCAGCTGCTCATGGACATGGGAATATCAGAAGATCCAGGCTGGGTGTTAATCATAGATCCACTCATGAGCACAGCTTCTGTAATCAACCAGTTCTTCAGGAGTGAACCATAAATTGATCTCTGTCTCAGCACTTTCCACAGAATCACTGCCATGAATGATGTTCCTAGGAAAAGAACAGGTGAATAAAAGAGAAAAGGAATTCTTAAAGTAAAGTAAGTTTCTTGTTTTGAAGTGATTCCTGCTATGGACAGAAGCTTTAAGTAACAGTAAAGTAGGAAAAGACACAGCATAGGCAGTGCCAGCTTTGCTCCTCATTTTTGTCAATGGGGACAACCATGACTTGATCCCTATCCTTAGGCACTAATATGTCATGGGCACAGGGAATGGCAGCTCCATGTGTAAAACAGAGAAGGATGGAGCACAGTTCCTGCAGATATCATGACATAACACTTGGCATTTAGTGCTTTGGGATGATATCAAATGTTTTAAAATTTACTTTCCAACTTGGACACAGAAGTCCCCACGAATAGTGCCGGGCTTGGAATCGAACGGATTGGTTTCCCCCAGCATCATTCTTCCAGTCTTAATCACATTAAGACCTTCCCACACCTTAAAGACAAAAAAAATCCATTCAGATTATTAAATTTTAGCAGCAGATAAATTATGTCATCCACGAGAACACAGGGCTGTCCATCATGGTACAAATCACCATCTGAATATTTGTCACAGTGACACAAATTTATCTCCAATTCTTCTGTCAGATTTTTGAAGCACCTGCTCGCATGGTCCCCTTCTGTACAATCCCTCTCCTCACCCAGGGTGGGGAGAGAACAATTTTCCATCTCAGTATGTCAAACAGACTCACAGAGTTGTTTGCTCATGGGAGAGCTAGGCCTCAACTATTTTACAAATACAATATCAAGGAGAAAAAGAGAACTAAAGTTAAAATGTTCCACCATCCTTTTTCAGCTTGCTTACTACCTGGTATTTCAGACTGGGGCTTTTGTGCAGATTTACTGTTTCTCAAGGTCCTGGTTGTGGTTCCTGTTTGCCCCTACCCTCTTCCTCAAAAAACTGACTCAAAGGAGAGAAAGATTATGAGAAAAGATTAAAGAAAAATAGTTAACAGCACATCTTCCTAATCACAGATTTTAAAATCCTTTTAAAAATAAACTGGAATTCAACAGGTGACACAATCTCATTGCAGGGAAGACAGTCAAGCAGTGTGGTTTTCCTGGCCAGGAACTCACCATGGCTACGACAGGTCCCGAGTGCATGTACTGCACCAGGCCCTCGTAGAACGGCCGGTCCTTGAGGTCAATGTAGTGTTCCCTCAGAAGGTCCTCAGAAGCCTGGGTTAAAAACCAGACAGACAGAGGAAAAAGCTTACAGTAAGAGCTTAAGAGCATAGTGAAATCACAGAGATAAACCACAGAGCACTGGTAATCCTGAAACTTGCACGCACTTTAAGATTCAGTATTTCTAGCACCTTCCTAGGAGTACTTTTGGTCGATATGAATTTGAACTGTTTGCATTAACCACAGCTAAACTTAGAAAAGTTTTTGTTGTCAATACAGCCAGTTTATGTGACCTGGGATTTCTAAAAGATACTCAAAGATATTTATTTGCCATAGGAGCCACCTGAAAGAATATTCTCTTCAGACTAAGGGCATCAGGTTACTAAAATTAGTGTGCTTAACACGTCTAAAGCATTTAGCCAGAGCTGGGAATTGGAACTTTTCCAAAAACATCCCAAGTACGACTTCTCAAAATTTCAGTTTTAAATATTACAGAGGCCACATTTGTTGTTATAGCATGCTGCTGTACTTGAAGGCTACAACTGATACAAAAAAGTAGACACAGCAATTGAGGAGAGCTTACATGTATTAATTTCATGGCTACCAGTTTGAATCCTTTCTTCTCAAAGCGTTTGATGATCTCCCCCACCAGCCCCCTCTGGACCCCGTCAGGCTTGATGGCAATGAAGGTGCGCTCCTCGATGGCAGCCATGATCCTGAGGAGGGAGGGAATAAAATTTGTTATTCCAGGACTGTGCAATCCCAGCCCGTTCCAGCCCCGTCTGCTGTAAGTGTAATTAGGTTTGCTGCATCTGAGGGTCAGTAATCCATGGTCTCCAAAGTTTGGACAAACCAGTGACAGCACACAGGTTTTCCCAAATGCTGCAGGAGTGAGTTAGAAGCGGTGGAAGGGTGCCAAGTGTAGGAACAATCAGTGAATACTGAAATCAGGAAAAATCTGAATGGAAAGGAAGGTAATGATCACCACAGATCCATCTTCCAGTGCCGTGCAATAAATTAATAAATTAGCACACACACAGAGTTTTCACCCGGAAACCAGCAGGACCACAGGGGCTCTGAGCCCTGCGCTGGAGCACACCTGAGTGGGCAGGTGAGGGATGCAGGGGCTGCGGGGAGGCTCCGCGGGGGTTGCGGGGACCCTGCCCGGGAACAGGGGGACCCTTCCCGCTGTCCCACAACCCGGCTTCCCCGCTGGTGGCCCAGTGGCTCTGGCACCCCTGAAGCCTTGTCCCCGCTGGTGGCCGGGTGGCTCTGGCAAACCCTGAAGCCTTGTCCCCGCTGGTGGCCGGGTGGCTCTGGCAAACCCTGAAGCCTTGTCCCCGGGCCAGTGGCTGTGGCAAACGGCGTCCGCCGCTGGTGGCCTCAGTGGGTGTCGGAGCCCGAGTACTCGGCCGCTCCCCGGGTGCCTCGCACAGCCCGTGTCCCCGCTGTTCCCCGGCGGCTCTGGCAGCCCGTGTCCCGCGCCGGTGGCTCCGTCAGGACGTGTCACCGCGGGTTCCCACCCGGATTAGCCGAGCTCCATCCCCCGCCCCCGCAGAGCGGCCTCCCGCCCGTAGCGAGCGCCGTCACCGCCCCCAGCCCCATCCCGGGGGGATTCGGGATCCATCCCTGCCCCCGATCCCCCGCCCGCCTAACACCCAATGGGGGTGCCGGGCTCAGCCCTTCCAGCATTTCAGTCTTGCCTGCTGCATCCCGGTTTTTATTTAACAAAAGGCACATAATTTAATATTTTAAATATTTTATTAAAATTATTTAAATAAAAATAATTTAAATTATTTAAATTATAATTCTAATTACAATTATTAATTTAATTATTATTAAAATTATAATAACATTTAATAATTTAAAGTTATTTTAATAAAAATCTCGTTGTCGTACTGTTCTGCTTATATTTCCTCTTTAAAGAAGGTATTTAATTTTGTTTGGGGTTTATTTCATGGTTCTCATGTACACATGAGAGTATGCTGGGAAAAACTGTTTGGATTAATTCTGCCTTGAGCAAAGACAAACCCCAGACCGTGGGGTTGTCTTTGTTCAAAGATCAGATTGTACCTGGTGGGTGATACAGAAGGATGGAGAGATATGATGCATACCTCAAGAGAACATTGTTTTGGCAAATCACCCATCACACTGTGCCTGTATTTAGATGTAGATGTATGTATGTATATAATTAGGGTAATGCACATATGTATAGAGTTATAGATTGAAATGCATTAATTTAGGTATTGATCATATGGTATGGGACAAGGGGTGGAATGCCTTGGGGATCGGCTTTTTATCCCATTAAAATATATTAATTTATGTATTGATCATATGGTATGGGATAAGGGGTGGAATACCTTGGGGATTGGCTTTTTATCCCATTAAAATATATTAATTTATGTATTGATCATTTGGTATGGGATAAGGGGTGGAATGCCTTGGGGATCGGCTTTTTATCCCATAAAAATGTATTCATTTAGGTATTGATCATATAGGGTGGAATGTCTCAGGGATTGGTTTTTTATCCCATATCCATTTTTGTTATTGTATTATGTCTCAGGTGGTCGCTGCTGCCCCCCTCCCCCTTCCCTGGCTCTGAGTGTATGGTGATGGGTGAGAGCCAGCCCAGGATTTCCTGCAAGAGCTGCAGGTGAGGGATGGTTGCATTCTCCTTGTGGGGTTCATCTCAGGGGCCATGCAGTGCGATCCCTCTGATGAGAGCTACTGTTGCCATGTGGCTTTTGTCCATTTGTTTCTTTCCCTTTGCACTGTGACTGGAGCTTGCTTTTCCGCTGCTTGGGAGCCCAGAGCCGCTACACGCCACGTTGGGACCAGGAGCATGCCGGTCCCAGAGTCTCTGCTACACTTTGTCACCTCAGGTCTGCTCGCCTCTGCTGTTCCAGTTGGCTTCTTCTGAGGTCCCTGCTACATTCCAGTTCGCCATCCGGAAGGGCAGCGGGACCGCCTACACCTGTGTGTTTGTACAGGAAGCTCCTTTCCCGTCCCTCCCGCCCGCCATTCCCCGCGCGCAGTCAGCGCGGCCGCCCCGCCGGCCGGGAGCCAGCAGCGCCCCTGCCGGCCGGGAGGGGGGCTGCAGGCCGGGGAAGGGCCCTGCGGCCCAGAGAGGCTCCGCGGCGCCCGCGCTTCTGTCTGCGCCTGCTGCTGCTTGCCTTGTTATACATACAGATACATATACATACACATATGTAGTATTGCATTTTATTTAAGTGGTACGCTCTGTCTCACCCCTCCAAAATGTATGGTGGTCCTGCCCTAAACCATCATGTGTCTGTAATCCCATTGGCCCAAGACTGATTCTGCGCCCACTTTCAATCCACCTCTTAAACCGTGCCAGCGAGACCAGTCGCTCTCTAAGCCCTTCTCCTCTCTTAGCCCCTTTTTCTCCCCTCTTGTCTCTCCTCTAGGCTCTCCCTCTCCCCCTCTCTCCCTCAGTAACCACCATGCTCCCGGGGTTGGGACCCCAAATAAACCCTCTTCTAATCAGCACCCTCAGAAGCCGTGCGGAATGTCCTTGCCTGCCTGCTGCTGCCAGCCAGCTCACAGCCCAGGCGGCCCTCAGGGGACACCCCCAGAACAAACAACAACATACATACACATATACATACATATAGTAAAGAACTGTTATTCCTTTTCCCATATCTCTGCCTGAAAGCCCCTTAATTTGAAAGTTATAATAATTCAGAGAGAATGGGGTCACATTTTCCATTCCAAGGGAGGTTCCTGCCTTCCTTTGCGGACACCTGTCTTTCAAACTAGGGCAGTGTATAACTGCTAAAGAGGAACAGGAAAAAAAAATTCCTTCATAGAGATAATTTCCAATAATTTAAATGAAAATTCCACTTGCGAATATGTATGAGAGTACACATAATGTCTTTTAAAAAAATAATTTTTTAGCTGGAATGATGTAATTTTTTGGTAATAATTAAAAGTCAAACACCTTTTTTTTCCCTTTTGCTATGTTTATAAATTGTATTTCAACTGCCTGTGCCCTGGCTGTGCAACTTTAAATATTAGCTTGGGAGGATGACGATGTCTAAACAGGACTCACAATAAATCCGATATACAGGGCTGGAGTCTTTTCTTCTTTGTCACTCCTGCGCAGACTCACTGGCTCGGTAAATGAGGAGCCGAGGCAGCACATGCATTTAAAGCACAGTTCCTGCCTTAGAACCAGTCCAAATGAGAAAAAAATTAACTGCAAGGCTCTGCTGCTCTCCAGTGGAGCTGAATGCAATCACCACAGCTAAAATTCCATCCCTTCTCAAGCTCTCTGCCTTTTTTAAAGCACATTTTCATTTCTTTGCTCCTGGACTGCTGCTGGGCCACCGAGTTCCTCAGCTGTGCACGTGACATTACCTAATGAAAAATACTGATTTCCTCAAGTTCAAGTTGTATGATAGAAGTTGCACCAGACGAGGTTTAGAGTGAATACCAGGAAAAATTTCTTCACTGAAAGCACTGTCAAGCCCTGGCAGAGGCTGCCCAGGGCAACGATGGAGTTACCATCTCTTGAGGCATCTGAGAGATCTGCAGATGTGGCACTTGGGGACATGGTTTAGTGGTGTCCTTAGCAGTGCTGCATTAATGGATGGACTTGATGGTCTTAAAGGATTTTCCCAACTTAAATAACCCCATGATAAAATGAGGGATGTGACACAACTCAAAAAATTCTCAATCTCAATAGGTATTTTCAAGTTTACTGTAAATGTCTGTAACAGCTCCCATTGTTCCCATGACATGATCCAGAAGGGAACTCCCTGTTCCAAATCTTAGGAAAATCAATCTCTCTCATCAAGTGCAAGATGCCTTCTAAGCTGTATTATTGTTAAGAAAACAGGATTTCTGATATTACCTGGAGACCTTATTAGAAAGGAAAGGCCTTTTTGCTGCCAGACACCAGCAAACACAGAGCTGCAGAGTCCCAAAATCCAGGAGCTAAGCTTCTAACTCCTTCAGTCACCCCTCAGTGAATCACTGGGTCTATTTATGCCTCCATGGGTGTGATAAACAAATACCCTGGGAGCTGTCAGACTGCATTGCCTCACATCTGCCATTCACAGAGGGAGCTGCCTACGGGACACCCCAACCCCACAATCCAACCAGAGCTCCCCACCCTGGTCCCTGGTAAGGGACTAAAGGGACCAAACCTTCTGCTGTCAGGGGCCCCCAGAGCCTCCACCAGTGGCACCAGGGCTTTGATATTCACTCTGGTGACCTGGGGTATCCTGGCCTGTATCAGGAACAGCATGGCCAGCAGCACCAGGGAAGTGATTGTCCCTCTGTTCTTGGCACTGCTGTGTTCAGTTTTGGGCTACTCACTTAAAAAAGGATATTGAGGGGCTGGAGTGTGTCCAGAAAAGAGGGACAAGGCTTGTAAAGGGGCTAGAAAACATGTCTTATGAGGCTGGGTTTGTTTAGTCTTCAGAAGGCTCAGGGGTGACCTTACAGCTCTCTAAAACTACTGACAGTAGCGTGTAGTGAGGTGGGGATGGGGCTTTTCTGCTGTGCCTGTAGAGAGAAGACCAAAGAAAAGAACCATAAGCTGAGATAGGGGAGATTCAGATTAAATATTTGAAATTTTTTTGTTACTGTTCGTGTGGTCAGGGGTTGGAAGGGGTTGCCCAGCAGATGGTGGCATCACCACACGGGAGCTGTTTAAGAGGCATCTGTAGCCAGCACTGCCTAACGAGGTTTACTGGTTTAGGAGTTACGGGGTGACAGAACCACAGAATCAACTAGGTCGGAGAAGACCTTTGAGATCACCCAGTCCAACCTGACCCAACACCACCTTGTCAACCAGACTGTGGCACTGCATACCACATCCAGGGCACCTCCAGGGACGGTGACACCTCCCCGGGCAGCCCAGTCACTCATTCTGTGAAGAATTTCTCATTCGAATGCCCAGTCACTCATTCTGTGAAGAATTTCTCATTCGAATGCCCAGTCACTCATTCTGTGAAGAATTTCTTCCCAATGTCCAACCTGAACCTCCCCTGGCACAGCTTAGGGCTGTGTCCTGTTCCTTGTTCCCTGGGGCACAGCAGAGCCCGACGCTCACCTGGCTGCACCCTCCTGACAGGAGGGATTGTAGAGAGGGATAAGATGTCTCCTGAGTCTCCTTTTCTCCAGGCTGAGCTCTCACAGCTCCCTCAGCCGCTCCTCGTGTGCTCCAAACTTTTCCCCAGCTTGCTGCCCTTTTAAAGGTCTCTCCCAGTCTTGAGGACTCGGTGATTTGTCAGGACTCGGTGACTCCTGAGGCGTCTCCGAGAGCCCAGCCCCTCCCGCCGCCGCCCTGCTCCCGCCGAACGCCTTCACCGCGAACGCCGCCGCAGCCTCGCACAGGCCCCGCCCCCGATGACATCACCACGCAGACCACACCCCTCGTCCTGACTAATAGCCCGTAGCCCCGCCCCACGCGGCCGTCCCGCCAGGCCCCGCCCGGCGCGGCGGGTGAGGTCACAGGCGCGCGCCGCTCCCGCCCGGCCCTGCCGAGGCTCTGCCGCTGCCGCAGGGAGCCGCTCCGAGCAGGACCTGCCGGGCCCCGCCAGGCCCCGCGCGACCCCCGCCGCCATGGAGCTGGCGGACGGCGTGGTGTACCAGGAGGATCCCGGCGGGCCCGGCCCCGCCATGATGTCGGAGCGGGTGTCGGGGCTGGCGGGCTCCATTTACCGCGAGTTCGAGCGGCTCATCGGGCGCTACGACGAGGAGGTGGTGGCCGAGCTGATGCCGCTGGTGGTGGCCGTGTTGGAGAACCTGGACTCGGTGTGCGCTCACAGCCAGGAGACCAGCGTGGAGCTGGAGCTGCTGCGGGACGATAACGAGCAGCTGCTCACGCAGTACGAGCGGGAGAAGGCGCTGCGCAAGCAGGCCGAGGAGGTGAGCGCGGCGCCGGGCCGGGGCGGCTCCGTGGGGGCGGCCGCACCTCCCGCGCCGGGCCTGCCCGGGGCAGAGCGGGCGGCGCCTGCGGCACTCCCGGGGCTGCCCCGTCCGGGCGCGGGGCTGGCGCTGGGGTCGCGACGCGGCTCGGCAAGAAGGATGAGGAGGGCGCGGGGTCCCTCCCGGTTCGTGCAGCTGAGCCCGTCCGTGCGGGTCCGTGTGCCTGCGGTGCCCTGAGCCGCTCGTCCCGCGGGGATGCCGGTAACCCCTGCGGAGCGCTGCGCTGCCCCTGCGGCCGCGCGAGGGGAGCGGCGCAGACGTGGAACCGGGCGCTGGGTGCGCTGTCACGGCCACGCGGGATGCCCCCCGCGGAGGGAGGCGGGTTGTCCGCTTTTGGAGAAATAGTGACAGCGCCTTGCAAAAGGCATGGAAATACACGGTGTGTAGGCTGAAGGCCTTCGGAGTTGGTACATAAAGCTGCAGGCGGCAACAGGTGGTGTGGACTCTCCAGTGATGTCGACTGTGATTTAGGATGTTAGATGTTTTTATTTTAGTTGTTTGTACCAAGAATCATTTCAGCATAAACAAGCTTGCGAGGCATTATCTAATATGATATAAAGCAATACAGTAGGAAGCAGCTGTGCAGGATAACTTCCTCCAGCTCATTGTCTTGCCAAACTCCTGAAGGAAATTGGATTGGCAGCAGTATCTGCAATGGAGCAAACCATCTTACAAATGTATTCCCAGACCCCTTGTCCTGTGCTAATCTCTCTGGTTGTGCTTGTCTTCTAAATTTTCCAAAAATCAGAAGAACAACTGCACTGAGGGTGAACACAATATTAACAGTAAAAGCTTAATTTAAAGAACACTAGCCCTGTACAAATACTTGTTTGTTTCTGTTATAAGTGAGTGCAAAATGTTGCCTGCAGATTATTCCAGGACTCAGTTGTTATGAAGGACTGTGGTATGAATGGTGTCCCCCCAGCTCTTGGACTGATCTATCATTCATCCTCCTTGTCAAACACATGGTGGTTTTATGATGCCTTATGGACTCCAGTCAGGGGACTGGAGTTGCCACACTATTTCTGACACAAGCTGATGTAAAAGGGTCTTTTAGAAAATATAATTAATGTGAAAATCCACCAGGCTTGAAGCACAGGCAGTATTTGCCAGATCAAAAAACAGGCCTTGGGCAGCAGGACAGAAACCATACCAATGTGATGAAACAGAACACGGAGTTAATTTTGTTGTTGTAGCTTTTCAGGAACTGTGTGTGCCTGTATTGGTAGTATGCTTCACTGCCATCTCCATTTCTCTGTGTCATGATAAATTAAGAGGACTGGCTTTATGCAGTTGAAGAACCAATGCTCATGCTGCAAGACACCTGGCTGATCTTTCCAAAGTGCACTTAGACCAAAGACTGTATTTTCATGGTAAGGACAAAGGTCATTTTTGTGATGTGCTGAGGTCATTGCACTGTACAGTGTGGAAGTGTTAGGTACAGCCTGGTGTATTCAGGAGAGGCACATGTGTTAGTCAGGCATGGTTGTTGAATTATTTTTTCAATGCTGATGGGTGCAGTATGGTTGAAATAAAAGGAGGAACAGAAATGTAACACTATTTTCCTTGGACAAAAAGTTGCTGGTTTAGCACGTTTCTTTCGTTTGGAGTTTGCCTGTGTCATGTGGCGGCAAAATTTTGAGAATTTTGAGCTGCTGAGTTCTATATTTATTGTCATCTGTTCATAGATTCACACAGTGGTTTGGGTTGGAAGGGACCTTAAAGTTCCTGTCACTCCGGCCCCTGCCCGGGCAGGGACACTCTTGCAGCATCAGGTTGTTCCAAGTCCTGTCCAGCCTACCCTTGAGCACATCCAGGGATGAGGCAGCCACAGCTTCTCTGGGCAGTTAACACACCTTCTTTTACTTTCTGCTTGTTGTTGTAGGTAATTTATTTGTAGCAGTATCTTTATCAACATTAAATAGTGTACTATTTGGGTAGGGGTCTCCTTATCCCATTTTTGTAATTTGCCTTCTTTATTTCCTGTGCTTAAAAAGCGTTACTAAAGAAATATCTTAAAAGTTGTTGCCTGTGGATTTCTGGAATAATTTTTTTTAGAGTCACCCTGACAGAATTTCTGGGCCTACTTCTTAACCCTCTGGGTACAGTTTTGATCTTTGTAGTTGCTGCAAAATCATTTGTCTGACTTGTAACATGGTAACAGGTTTTTTGATATCGCTGAAGGAATAGAGGAACCAGCTGCTCTGCTGTTCTGCTTCCAGTTCTTACCTTTCCACTTGGTGACTGTGAGGTAGCAATTCCTGCCCCAAAGAAGTGGGAGAGGAACCAGCATTTGTGCTTTTGCTATTTTATACCCTGATAAGAGTTACTTCTGCAGCCATGTGCTGTTTCACACCTGCACTTGTAGCTGGCCTGTGCTTTGTGTGCACTTGCAAAGAAGATAAAATCTACTCCATTTAGCTATGCCAAATTAGGATATCTTTTAGCTTTTCTGCTGTTGGTGGGATTAAGCTGTTTTTGAAATCTTTGGCAACTGTGAAAAAGGATTTACCACTACTAAAATTGCTTTAAGCGATAGCATGAACTTGTTGTCTGCTTTTTCTTACTGTTCCCAGAGGTAACTTCTTCATTAGGATTTTGTGTTGACTAAACACAGTGCAGTAAGAGTTCAAGTATTTTTAATTTGAGGGAACAAAACCGAGTTGCATTTTACAGAAAACTTTCACTCTCTTTTACAGCTGTCAAGTTGTTTTCATTTTCTTGTATTTTTGTGTCTCCCAAGTCCATCTGAACTGGCTTTTTAGGGGATTTTTTTTTCTCCCTGCTCCAAGAACTTGCCATTGGCTGAGAATCATTGTTGCAATACACATTGCTGAAGGACGTGTCATGGAGTAATAAAGATTGCCAAGTGGGTGGGACCCTGACATCCGATATGCTCAGCACTGCACCTGGGTCCTGTGACAGGAAAATCAGTCAAGATGTAAAGAGACAGAAGATGACATAAATATAGGAAGAGATATTTCATTTGACTAATAATGTGTTCCTGGGTGCTTCAGTGGTTGTGTGTAGGACAGAGGGTTCCGAATGTGCTGGGCTGTTGTGTAGTCTGAGTTCTTGTTTATTCCAAAGACCTCTGCAAGCTTTCAAGTAGGTTTAAAATTGATTACATAAATATTTTTGAGTTTAAGTGTGCAGGACTTTCTACACTTTTTATATGAGGCCTGTAAGAACAGGTTGGACAAAGGTCTGAAATGACACATGTGATCCTGCCTGGAGAAAATGGGATGGATTAAATGGGAGTTGCCAAGCATGGCTGATGATGGTATCACAGGTTGGGTTTCGGTAGCAGGCACATGCAGGAGGAGCTCTGCATCACATCCTGTGTTACACCTCATCATAGCCTAATCAAAATTAGGATCCAGACATCCACTGCTGAGCATCAGAACCTGGAAACAAGATGACCTTTTAAGGATCATTTCAGCTGTGTTTTCTGTAATCTTATATAATCTGGTCTGATTGCTTTAAAGACAGGTTGGTGTCCTTCAGCTTGCTCTTAAAAAAAAGTACCAAAAATCTCACTTCTCACACTTCTCATTAGAGTTGCAAGGTACATCTTTGTGGCCCAAACAGGACATCGCTTAAAATAGGGAAAACTAGATTTTTGTCTGCCTCAGTGTTTTGAATAACCAGTAGCTGGGGTTGAAATGAGAGGATGACTCTTGAGTGCCTAACGTGTTCCTACATATGCTGCTAGATTTACATTAAATAGTGCAGGAGATAAGTAGTGTTTGAGTGTATTGTCAATGTAAATTAAAAAAAAAAAGTATTTTAATATGGGTGCTCAGCCTGTCCTTGGCTGCTCTGGTGGTTTATCTCACTAGTTCTGTCGTACTTGTGCAGGCTTAGGGTCTGATGATCAGTCTGCTGGGGCTGAGTCTGTGATTATACTATCACCAGAAGGAGAAGTGAAACCAAATAAAAATATTCAAAGTCCGAAGTTCTCAATCCCAAGATCTGATGAGATATAGTTTACAGCAGGGGAGGGAAAAATACTCAGCTGTAATTACAGAAATGCTTTAAAGTATATCAATGTAGATTTGAACTTGAACAAAATGAAGGTAAACAAGTGGAAGTTAACAAAACCGTTCTAGGTAAAACCAGTTTTACCACTTGCAGTTGAAGAACTTGAGAGGAAATACAAAATTATATCTATCTGTAGTTTCATGAGTAACAATGACATTAATGGCTCTGAATGGCTATTTGTTATTCATGAGTATAATTGTCCCTGGCCTTTAGCAAGCTATGACACTTTTTTGGGAAATCATCAGAGAAACAACTAAACAAAGATGTTACAGTTTTATAATTCTTATTTCATGTTTTCCCATGTTTAGTGTAGCTTTAGCTCCAGTGCCAAATTTGCGTCAAACTTTGAAGCCC